AAAAGTGAAGAAAAAATGATAATAGTAATAATGACACTAACGACACAAAAAAACCGAAATTATTTTGAGAGACCAACTTCTATTAATAGCAGTTGCAATAAGACCTAAATGACAAAGCATACTATAAAGGAGGCTATCCAAAACTTCTAGATCTTCCTATATTTATATCTATTATTTTTGGTTTGTTTGTCTTATGCCTTAAATCCACAGTATATCATTAGTAACTGTCCTTTTATTTTCACAGCTGATATATACGCCCTCAAAAGTTTCTAATCATTAAAATTCAACCCTTTGCTCCCTTACTAAAGTGCATTCTGACCCTGGTATTATTTTTCATCTGCAATGGGTGGGGGTGGTATCACGCAAACGTTTCTATATTACAAAAGGCTTTTGCATTAATTGGCTACAATGTCAAAACCTCAGTTTAATGACATTATATATTTTTCATGTTCGTTTTAAAAAGGTGTAGACAATTTCAAAGTGCCTTAAGCCATAAAGGGTATACTCTTCGCACTAAAAGACGGGAGGATAACGACTTGAAGCTTCGCAATGAAATTGATGGAAATGATGCATTTTATGACAATAGCCCAGAAAAAGGGCTAAAAAAAAATGATTGCATGTCTTATAATGACACCAAAGCAACTCGTCAGCCAGGAAAAAAATCCTCGCATTTTATATTTTGTATTTCTTTGGATAAAAGAAGAGGTAATATTTATGCTAACAAAAAGAGGGGCTTACTTGTTAACTAGAACTACAAGTATTGATTACGCGCATAAAACCGTAAAACACAATACTTTTCGTTTTAGTACAGTCGGTTATATAACTGTATAACTAAAAAGGCGATCGCGGTCCAATATGTTCTTGACATCTTCAGCAACTGACGTGAGCCTGTTATTATATATCTTGCCGAAACGAATTGTCAAGTTGCTTAAAACAGATGAATGACTACTTTAACTAAGAGCTACCTAAGAGACAAATTACCGCTAAACGCAAATATAACCGGTGTCCGCTAGAGTAAACTTAGCCTTTTAGCTAACTTAAATCCTGGCAGTTATTGGCTTGGACAGAAAGGTCAGTAAGGCAGAGCAATTTTTTTTTCTCGGATTTTACATATAAATAAGGATTCTCTTAATTTCTCTCTACCTAACCATTTTACTGCCTTCAGAGTGAATGATGGACTATGGTATATTAAATGCGGCTCTTAAACTCTAAAGTCTTTGGACGATATGAGCATTCCAAAAAAAACCAAGCAAACAAATAAAACAAAAAAGAAACTTTGGCAAATAATTCTTCCACACAGTGTTCTTCCAGTGTTTTTTTCTATAAGACTCTCACCTCGCACTCATTGACTGTCACTTTAGCTATGAAAAAGCTGATCAACTGCCTTAAGAGAAAATAATACATTACTTTCACTGGCAAATGTGGACATTTACATTAAGTGTCTATAAATCGTGAATTCACAGTAGACTTCTTATAAGAGAGCGAATCGTCCGTACTTTAAGGAAAGCAACATGTCTGTAAACTCATTTTTACAGACATTTTAATATACAGTCTTTTTATACCTGTATTTCTTGAATGTTTATGAAATGACTGTAAATTTCAGCTTCGGCGACAATGTGTTTGGCGCAGAATTGACCTAAAACAGTTATATCTTCGTGACATAGCTCCTTTAAGCTGTTACTTTTTACTTGTAATTTTTGTCCTGAATTAACCATCGAACGTACACGGGCGGGGGGGGGGGGAATGCCATCCCCCATAAGTTTTTTCTGAGTTTTTTTTTCTAGAGGATAAAACATCAGTACCTGACGTTTTCAGTAGCCGTTCATTCATCCCTCGCGCAAATTTTCAGACAAGTTTATTGATGGTCAGTTGTTATGGTTACGAGATATGACGTCATAAGTAGCAGTTGGTCAAGCGAATTTCGGGTGAAAAAATGTTTTTTCAACTTCTTTCAACAATAAATATAAGTCTTGTGGCTAAAATCATGCTGAGTGCTTATTTGTGTGTTGTTTTTCATGTAAAGCACAAAAAAATAACATTTCTCTCAGTTTTAACCTAACTTGTAATTTTGGGTAAAATCCAAGATGGTGGCCAAGATGGCGGCCATTATTGGTAACGCTACAGGGATCCAGCAGCAACACCACCCCTAAAATATACCTCACCTTGTTAAGAAGATCAAAGGCTTTCCACTGAAGGTAAAATCGTCTCAAAATACTTCAACATATCAAAAACTCGGGGGTGGGGTTCCATCCATCGCACACTTGTACCAAGGTGGGGGTATGAATTTGCGATTTGCGTGTATGTCCGAGGGTTAACTTCTTTGTTGTATTTTCCGCAGTTGATAAAAGTATGAGTTATCAAAATATAGTTGATTTGGTATCAGCATCCTTGCCACTATCGTCAGTTCCGATACTAATCACCAAAACTAAAATATTAAGATTCATTTTCTCCGCCACCACTAAATGCTGATATGTAGCAAGTAGAACACTTGAAATCGCGCTTCTTTTACTTCAATGCTAATCATCTTCATTGATCATTCATGTGACACTCTGTGTTAATCAAAATGTTCCCATCAACGATGGAAAAAATTGTGAAGAGGTTCCACTAGGAACAAAAGTTTCTACGGCAACGGTTCGGCTTTGACGGTGGCCAGGCAGATTTTGTTTAACCAGGTTCAAACACATAGCTTCTTGTGTTTTCATGCATAATATTAAAATTAAACAAAAAAGCTTGCTTCAAAAGACCGTTAGAGACTAGCATAATTACGGTCTCATCGGATAACTTTAAATGTTCCAGATTCAGCATTCTCGCTAAGTCTATATCATCGTTAATTAACGATGCACAGTTTTAGCAATATCAGCAAGACAAATGGCCGGATAAGACAAGTTGCTCTTAACATGGAACTTGTCAAGAAGTATCAATATTTCTTTTCGACGTGTAGCTTGAAATTCTATTCAACACAGCTCAGCAGGCTTAAATAACGAACAAACACGCGACCAATTAACATAACACGCAATCGCAAAAAGCGTTAAGAAACTTTTAGCTGTACTCAGATCTACTCACGTCCAAACACTTTAAGTCTTGAAAATGAATTAGAAATCTATCATGCATGACAACGATGAAGAACGCTTTTTGTTGAATACATATATATTTTCTGTACGTGATTCATTATCTTTGAACCATCATCATTTTCAATATTGTTAAAATATCATATGATAATTTGAAATAATCCCCCGCAAGTAAAATATTCGTGCTCATTTAACAACCGATCGATCAGTCCTCTTTTCAACGATTTTCGTGTCAGTTGCGCAAGTCTGTATAAGTAGTGTAAACCTGATTTTACAATTCTTCACATTAAAATATAAACAGTTATCAACAACAGCACACTTGCAGTCCTTTGGATAATAAATTACTATTGCTATTCAGTAGCAGGAGACCATTCACAGCCATTAAAAACGGTATGTACACATTTAACTTTTGCTGGTTAAATTAAGGGGTGGACTTAGATAGGTAATAGAAAAATTCGCTCTTCTCACAGAAATATGAAAAGAAGACATCTACAACTGAATTTCTGTTAGCAATACAGCGACGGGACATTAGATTATTAGCAAGGCATGTCCGAAAAACTAGCATTACCTCAAACCGCCAGCGGGGAATTACACAGTAGTTTTTATTCAGATCTAGATAAATACTGACATAACAATAACACATTTCGTTTCCTCTTATATTCTGTATTGTAGAATACAAGGTTTAGAGCTGCTGTATGATAGATAAGCGGTTTATTTCTTTTGTTTTTGAATATTGTAGACAAAATACAATGAATTATGTCTCGGAACTATTGAAAGGGAAAAAAATAAAAAATGGAGCGCTGAAGTTGAAAATACTATTATATATACTGCACCCACCATTTTATTACAAATGCTGTTTTACAACTTGTTATGATCTATCTTGCGTCAAAGCACCTTCAATTAACACTTACTTTAGGTTGCATAAATGTGTATAGTATGACTTACAATGGGACTAAGAAGAAAAATAGGCATTCTATTTCCAAGACTCTAGTTTCGCAGGCGGATAATATTGGGACCGGCACTAAGTGTCCGTCTAAAAAGGTGATGTCTGTCTTACAAACAGTAAAAGAGAGGGAGTAAAGAAAGGTACGGGCCAACGCGTAAGGTGTCCCTTTTACCGAGATGTGCTTTTTATAGTGGTGTCCGTTAAGAAAGAGTTCAGTGTATCTATATTTGTGTTGAATGTGCTTTGTGTCAGTAGCTTCTTTCTTCTGTAAATGATTGTTCGTTTTACTTTATTTCTTTTTTTGAGTTGTTTTATGATAGTGAAAATTACATGTCATATCACCAACTGTTTCTCCTTTTACAATATTCTTCTTTTCTTTTAATTTCTACCTTTTCTTTTCCTGCATGATCCTAAAACTAATGAACCTGTCGCTTTTCGAGGAAATTGCCAACATTAAACGTCACATGAACGAACTAGTTCCGGAAGAAGACAAAATGGCGACCATTCCAAGTTTACTCTCCTGTTGCGATTTTGTAAATAATGCATTGAATCTCTTACTTCTTTCGTTCACAATTTGTTGTGCGAAATATTTCTAAATGACGTATTTGTTCATAATTTTGATAGCGGATGGCGAAATTTGAATAGTGTGTCCTTGCAGAAATAAATGTTATGTCTGGTGCATGATGTGTCGTACTATACAAAATCTCTAATGGGAATAAAGAAATAAATTGAGCACAGCTTTTGGAAACTCTATTCCTACATCATAGCTGTATTTAATAATTTTCTCTTAAGGGAGAACTTTGCTTTTCCTGAGATGTCAGGATGTTTGAATAGAACACCGGCTCAGGGGTAATTATTTAGCTACCTTAAAATTCATCTCCAGCAATATCACGTACAAACAATTCAGCTCGGATAAAAAGTAGAAATCGAAGTCCTTTGAGTAGTTGTTGTCCTTGGACTACTGAGCTGTTTTTACGGACGAATCTTATCAAGACGTCCATCTGATCAGAAAAGGAATTTAAGAGGTGATTTTCGTATCAGTACTCCGCAGCTATCTTTCTCGAGTTTTAAGGTGGGGGCCACGTTTCAAATTTGAAAGCCGTCTATCGACACTGCCCAGCAGGGGTATTTTGCCGAACGCGAATGGCTGTGAAGTTTGGTGATTAGGGTCAGAAAACTGAGTGAATACAATTTAAGGTGAGTTTTCTAATGACCCTATAAGTGGAACCTGATTCCCTCATGATCAGTTTCCTAACCGCAATCACTAAACTCAGAGTCATTCGGCATTCTACATTGGACATTCAGCGTTCTGCAAAATACCCCTGCCGGACACTGTCTAAATTTGTAGTTTTGTTCTCGTTTGGAGAAAGCTAAGCCAAAGATTGAGTATTCACTATCTTCAAGGAAAATACTAGATAATTAGTATGCCCCCGAAGAAAGATTTCGTTGAAATATCTCGTTAATTCGATTATTTTCATAAATACATTGATTCATATTTATTTTGTGAATTATTTTCGTGTGCGAAAATACAATGTATTTCCATAAACTGCATGTAGTTTACTTTTTAGCTAGTGGAGGTCTTTAACTATAGTTTTATGGCACATCATTTCTGACATCTGCCTCCTTAAATCTTAAATTTCTGTCAAGATTTGCTTCTTTATCAATTAAAAAAACTGCCAAACTGCGAGATTTGTTTAATTAGAACAGGATAATAATTAGAATCTGTTAGCTGCATGTCAACATTGGCAAAAAAAAGAAAAACTTGTTGACGGGCGCAAATACAAATTATTACATAATGACGCACGCACGCACGTTATAATATCTGCACTGCTATTGCCAGCGTACTCACAATCTTGCTTGCTTGCTTCTTCTTTTCATGTAGGTACCTGAGCGTTTACTGCAACGGTGGTGAAGTGATGTCGTTATCATTGGGGCATAGAGATGCTGGAATTGTCGCCCTTGAATCTACCAGTTTGATTGTCCTGAATGTGGTGTCCTTATTGGGGAATACAGCGATATGCCTAGCGGTGTACCGCAACAAGCAACTCAGGACCATAACCAATCTTTACATTATAGCCTTAGCCATTTGTGACCTCACATCTGCTGTAATTGTGATGCCGTCTTCCTCAGTAGTGCTGGTCAAGGGAGAATGGATCTTTGGGGATGTCTTCTGCAACTTACAAGGTTTCTTCGTGGTTATGAACATTTATGCATCCCCATGTCTAATGACACTCACAGCCATCAATCGCTATGTAAGAATTTGCAGAGCGGGTATTTATCACAAGCTCTTCTCGAAACGTAAGAGCATGTTATGGATATTTGCAGTGTACGCTACGGTGACCGCGTACATTGTGACCCAAGTTTTGGTCGGTAACCAGAGAATTCAATTCGTCTCAGGTTATGCTGTCTGCTCCACAACGCATCTTGGAGAAACCGCTAAGCTAATCCATTATAGCATTATTGTGCCTGCATTCGTAGTCGGTCCAATCATTCTTACCACCCTATGTTATTACAAAGTTTTCCGTTGCATAAGACGTCACAACAAGGACTTCGCCACATCCCTCAGAACCGGAAGTAGTGCTGCACTGAGCATATCGCGCCGTGAGTTACGAGTCAGTATTTCCCTATTCGTGGTGGTTATTGTCTTCGCATTCTGTTGGATACCCCTCTGGATCCTGGCTCTACTGTTCCGATTTCAGCTGGTTGACAGTCTTTCGAGGCATGTAACCTTGTTTATTATGTTTTTGGTGTTTATCTCGTCAACCGTCAACCCGTTTATTTATGCAGGCATGAACACATCATTCCGGAGAGAATTTGGTCGGATTGCCAATTTTTGCTCACCACCATCTGAACAGGAATCAAGCTCGTTTCAACTGGGCCAGCTGAAGAAAATCACCGACGAGGAACAGCGAAATAAATCAGTATGCTCAGAGGAACTAAATGCAGTGTAATTTTTTTTTTCAGTAAAACGATCACGAAAGCCTTGCCAAACAGGCCTCAGGCATTTTGAACTCAAAAGCAAAGACGTTTGTAAATACCACAATTGCACAATAGTCCAGTTTCGAACTTAGATGTACATATATGATGACATTGAGTAACAGAGAACTATATATAATATATAATACATTACTTCCTGTTTTTGTTTTTGAATTTTTTTTCTTTTGTAATTATTGTTTGTTTTCCCATGTCATTTTCAATGAGGTTGATATTGTTTCATAAATAAGCGGGGGAGTTTCAGCTAGAAATTTCCAATTTTTTAAAAGTAAAACTTGTATAATTCAATTAACCTTACGGGAAAATATGTTAAACATCCTCATATTTCTACACAATTATGGACATCGCCCCTTGTAAGGGATGCAAATTTGCAGAATCCGGAAATTTTTGCTTGTGGAGTCCGGAATCCGGAAAAAAATTTGCTTATGGAATCCGGAACAGGCAGGGTCTTGCAATCCAGAATACAGCACAATGAATCCGAAATCCCACTTATCTAACGATTGGAATCCAGAATCCAAGTTCTACAGACAACACTGAAATCGAATGCCTGGAACCTGGAATCCGGAATCAACAGCGTGGAATCCAGAAACTAAGACTGTCCTAGACTCCCATTAGTTACATGGGGCGATGGACATATTCAAGCGAAAATTTATGTATACGAGAATAAGTTCGGAGCATTAATCTTGCTCATCTTTCCATGGCCAAAGGGGATCCGCTCTCAAAATACCATATCAATCGTTTCTTGTATGGGTGCTCCTCGCTGTCGCGCTTCGCCCCTGACTATCAGGAACGGAGGTAAGGAAACTTTCTGGCCAAGGTAAAGTTCAGAAAGTCCTGAAATACTGCGTTTTTCAAGTCTTCACTATGATGAGTTCACCATGTCAAATGATTCTCTATAGGCCAGCTTATAGACAGTAATAATAATGGACAAGTGTTCAATACATGCCGCTAAATTTCCAACAAACAAAAATAATCTGTTCAGTTTCAAAAAGTTGACAATTCGCTTGTCCATGGCGGCTTCAACTAGTGTCGAGTACCGATGTTTTGATTTACGTTGATGCTATCTCCAACAAACAGTCTATTTTTTCTAGTCAGATCCGCACGCCGTCATTCCCAAAAAATTGACCTGCTTTATCTCCAACTATACTTTGAAGAGCTCAGATCTGATAAACTTTCGCACAAACACGATTCAAATAAATACCAATCCAAAGCATTTTTAATCTGCGACCACAGATCAGATAAGTACAGATCGGCGACGCACGTAAACAAAACATACCTGGTTTGATTGTGGGGTTTGCTGCGGGCAAATGTTTCCTTCTCTACCCTCCAACCCCCCCCCGTTCTTGTTTTTTGCTCCCTTCCCTGCTTTCTCGACGAACTAACGCTGAATCGCTTGCTACCCAGGCTTCTCATCATAAGGCGAGTTCTAGGGAGCATGGTAAATCTCAAGAATTCCACTTAGGATCTGAGAAAGCTTGCGGTCACTTATGCCGGGATTCTTGGAAATTCCCGGAAATTCTCGGAAAAAAAAAAAAATTCCAAGTTTCCTCTTAAAGCAGAATTTTCGAGGATAGGCCTAGTTCACACCACAGGTAGCCCAAGCTGGAAATATGAGCATCGGCGACCGTCGGCATTGTTGCGTAACATTCGAAGTATAAGGATTTGTGCGGGAAAAAAAAAATATCGTTTCTGTAACCTACGAAAATGAAAGGATTTCATTGAAAAACAGCTTACCTTACTTAAAATGTGTGTCACGTCTCTCTTGTGTGGTCCATGGGCCGATTTATGGCCGTTTTATGTTTTTTTTGTAAACGGTCTTCTCTTTATATAAAGGTTTACCAAGGTTGGGCACTCCAGAGAACCGACCAGACTGATCCACCGAAGGAAAACGGCCGTAAATTCCCTCCAACTACTCCAATCGCCTCCAAATTCCGCCTAGGTAACACAGGATAGTTCTCCTTTCCATTCGTTATCTTCCTTCAAGACGCCTTTGCACCGAGAGCGAATCAAAGGTCGCAAATCTCTGCAACGTTTCCCGTCTGAAGCCATCGACTGAACCTCGGCTTGAACTCCGCGTTACCGTTGAAAGATAGCGACACGGCCTGATACTCAAATTACATGTACTCACCCTCGGGTTGGGGGACAGTCTCTCGCTCCCGTTGTAAGATAATAATTCTGTCTACACCCACTTCTGCACAAATCATATCCCTAACCACAAAACAAGCCAAAAAAAAAAAAAAAAAAAAAAAAAAACGACATAAGCAAACAACACAGTAAACAACAGCTAACCGTGTAGGATCTCCAGAACCGGTCACTACTTTCATGTAGTTATCTACATCTAAAAAAGAGCCTGGAATTAAATAATGAATAAAAGTTGTCAACAATGGTCTTACCTATTTTCGTTGCGTTAAAATCAACTCTTAAACAAATCTCTCGTTTTCTTCAAAGGGGATATAATTTATAATTCCCCGAGTTAATTAAATCCGACAGTGCGCGCAGCGATCACGTGGTGAAACCCTGCGGATTGTGGTTTAAAATTTATAGGAGCCGTCACAGCTAGCACTGAGTATTGCCTGAGAGCGTCTCAAAAGAGTTTACTAAGTTACACTGCCTTTTTAAAATCGTTACAAAGGTACAATTATTTCTGCACACTGCCTGGACACATGGAGTTTGTTTTCCTCTCGAAACAGAATGTCAATGGACCGTTTTGAAGAGGGACAGATCTGCAAATCGAAGTCAGGCAGTTACAGCGACTATCAGATGCGAGGCTTACGACTAGGTCAAATGTAAGTTAGAGCACTGATTTTTCTGTCGTCTTTTCTTGTAAGCTGTAAGTGAAATGTTGAAGCATTCGCCCTACGTGAATGAAATATTTCGAAGAGAACTAACATTTACTTAAGGACTTTGTAGTCATCGGCCAGATTCCATCCTATGCCTGACATCGGTCATATTACTGTTGGCTCTGAGTGCATTGCACCTCGTGACTCTGTTCGTAATTTAGGGGTTCAGTTTGATAGCATATTTAGTTTTGAGGAGCACATTAACAACATTTGTAAATCATCATTCTATCATTTGAGAAATGTTGCTAAAATCCGCAAGTACTTAAGCCAAGATACATGTGAAATCTTAGTCCATGCATTTATTAGTTCGAAACTTGATCACTGTAATTCCTTATTACATGGCCTTCCTAAGTATCTGTTAGCTAGACTACAGGCAGTTCAGAATGCTGCAGCTCGTGTTGTCACACTGACACCGAAGCATGTTCATATAACTCCTATTTTAACTAATCTTCATTGGTTACCAGTTGAGTTTAGTCCTTTTATTGGTATACAAGGCCCTTCATGGCCTTGCACCTTCTTATATTTCTGACCTTTTGAATTTTAAAACATACTCTAGGTCATTGCGTTCTTCATGTAAAGAATAGTTAGTGGTTCCAAGAAGCAGATTGAAAACATATGGAGACAGAGCTTTCTCTATTGCAGGACCTAAATTGTGGAACGATTTACCTCTAGAGATTAGGAAATGTGTTTCAGTGGCAACTTTTAAGCAATCCCTTAAAACTTTTTTATTTAAGTTAGCATATAGGTTATGAGATTCCTTTTGTTTTAAGATGTTTTTGATTTATATAGTAGATAACTTAGGCTATATTTGAATTATATTGTATATTGTAGATATTTTATAATTTAGTTTTTTTTATATTCTATTTGTAATTAGGTAGCGCTTTGGACAATTATTGGATTTTAGCGCTATATAAATAAAATTATTATTATTATTATTATTATTATTATTATTATTATTATTATGTCGCAGTATGAAACTTTGGAATGCTGTCCACATTGTGAGTAGTATAGGGCGCATGGCGTAACCTACACCACTTGAGAAGCTATACTTAGAAGTAAAAAAAGGTCGATACGAAACCTAATACAATCCTAAAATACATAGTGATATGAATCTCTCCACTTAAAAAGCCAATTTAGAATATTATTAAATTCTGATACTCTGTAAAACCTTCGCTATCTCTACTAAAAGCTTATACATAGTGATATAAATCTCTCTACTTAAAAAGCCAATTTAGAATATTATTAAATTCTGATACTCTGTAAAACCTTCGCTATCTCTACTAAAAACATATTTATAATAATATCACACTCTAATGTTCTAAAAAATCTAAGTAAAAACGTCAGCAAGCTTGTGTTTCTAGATTTCTAAAGAAAAAACAAGACCTAAAAACTGAAGTCCATAGCGCCCTAACTAAGTATTTATCTTAAATGTTCTGGCAATGTTTAAAGTGTTTGAGATGACCGACTTCTGCATCCGCTCAAGTACGCTCCGTGCTCTCGCTCCAAGTAGCTTCCTCACCGACTTCTCTAGGTGTTTAGAGTAACCCCCCAGTACGTCAATTATTAGGTTGTACTCTTCAACCCTGTACCCATTGTATCTCTGCTTCAGCTCCCACATCATGGGCCCATACTTGAGTGTCTTTTCCTCATCTTTCTTAGCTCTACTCTCAATCCATGGGCAGCTCATTTCAATTGTGCAGACTTCTTTCCTCTCGTGGTTGACAAGTCGCGCGTCGATCCGATTTGCTCTTAATTTTCGTTATTATTATTATTATTATTATTATTATTATTATTATTATTATTATTATAGATGTCAATCCGCGTTGGTCACGCACCTTCAGTAACGCCGGTGAAGTTGTCACGTCGCCTGTCACGTCTCATATAAGTTTTAGAAATCAAGCTTCGGGTTCTAAATTGAATCATGTTTTAAATGTTCCCTATTTCGTGTTGATGGTTTCGTCATATGAAGAAGAAATAGCCGAACTTCTGCCTAAAGAAGAAAGAAAAGCGAGAAATTTAAAATCAAGTAAAGCAAAAATATCACTCAACAGGCGACAAATCCTGTTTGAAGAATGTCTGCTAAACAATTCATCCCTCGTTGGCCAATATGACAGGGAAATCCTTCTCCTAGGAGGAATACGCGACGGATGCTGTTTATCTTCCCGTCGGCTCTCCGTTCCTCCTGTCGATGTCCAACAGTGAGTAATTTTCATCAGTAAGACCAGGGAATGAGGGTGAGAAACAAGTATTGCATCTAGAACTACACGTTTACTAGATAGCCATCCTGATAATTAATATTACTTCGTGCGCGCATCCATGCATTGGCGGGAATATCAATAGTCCTGGGCTTCTCCAGTCACTGAATCACGCTTCCCGGCTTAAAGTGTATATGGCACGTTTTTTTGGTACGTGTTATTAATTCTTAAATATGTGTAGAATATGTATCCGAAACAGAAGGAAAAATGCCTGTCGTATAGCGCCGCCAAATAGTTACAAGTTCGACGTAGAATGATTTGCAAGTATAGGTCGCTGAAGGCCGCACACTAACCAGTAGAGTCTACTGGTTAGTGTGCAGCCTTCAGTGCGCGAGGTCCCGAGTTCGATCCCCGGCGACATTTATACTTTCTGGTTCAAACTTCTCTCTTCAACTTTCTGGGTAGCTTTTTCTAGCTTTAAATACCCTTAAAACGGAGTATGACGGAGAAAGCGGGCGGGGCAACGTCGACCCCTCAAGTTTATCACTTTACTATTTTTTGAGCGACGCCAACGAGTTTTTTCATTTTTTTGACGGTGGTTTCGAAATTTTCGTCAAAATATAAGGAATTTTTATATCATCAAGGCATGTTAAGAGGGAAAATACCTCACTTTACCACGAGTTATCGACGTAAAATATGGTTGCTTCACATTACGAGTCAGCACTAGTTTTCATTGACTAATAATGACAAGGTATTAGGTAAGCTGGATTTCTCAGTTTAATTTGTTGGCTAAGAGCATCTGTATCATGGACCATATTTCGACCATGTCATGATATTCTGCAATTTCCTCAGCATTTGTAACAATGACCTTAGAGCGGAAAGATTAGCCAGAGCTAAAGTGGTGTAGGATGTTAGTCACCAGATAATAGTTGTGCCAGTTATTTTGCTCAAAACAATGTGTTCAAGGTATTTATTTCTTTCATTACAGTGGTTATTTCGTAGTTCTAATGCGATCCCGTTATTTCTTATACCGCACAGGAAAAAAAAAAAAAAAAAAAGGTTTGGGGAATTTTTACTGATAACTCTTGAACTTAGCTTCTGAGAAAAAAAATGCAACTTCATTAGTTTGCAATATCTACACATTTATATAAAATCGGTTGCACAATACAACAATTTAAGTCATATCTAAACTTATAACGATAGCTGAATGACTATGCTTTATGATTGCATTACGAATTATTTCTGCCAATATTAAAACTTCAATCAAGTCAGTCTAACCAAGATTTTGATGCGTCATTATAATTATATTTTTCCGTTCATTATCTTTGGAAGGTACATTTTGATTAAATTCAATATTTACCTAGAAGCCGGCTTCTTTGTGAATTTCTAAATTCCTTGTTCTAAATAGGATTTTACTTTTGTCGCGACAAATAACGTCTTAGACGAGAGATTTCATTTAAATTTGAATCCTTATGAATGTATATTGAATGAATGTTTTAAGTTTTAATTGCGTCGTTTCTTGTAAACCTTAAGCTTGCACCGTTTTGTTTTCATTTGACCTATATAGACTGAACTTGAGTCCAGACGTAAAATAAAAGTATATGCTACAATTTATCCCTTGGGCATTATCCGGCTAAGTTACCTCCAACTTTTTTTCAACTTTTTTCCCGACGATCTGTGTGCAGATCAGCGCTTTGGGCATGGCGGTGCTTACGGTGTTTTTAAAGAACCTACAAGTTTATATTAATGTCAAAATCAATATAAACCTGTCCTTTCGCTATTTCCGGGAATCAGTTTTTTTTTCCAAAATTAAATTGGAATAGAAACGCCATGAAAATAGGGCACTTATTGCACATTTTGTCACCCCAAAGGGAACTAAGAATTTTGAACACTATTAAGCCGTTGATTGCTTCTATCATTGAAATTCTTTTAAACACAAAAGAAACATCGTTGATAAGGGTCTCGAGCTGCCATCGACACCAAAATTTTGAAGTATTTATTTTGCTTTTCAAATTAGGAAAAACGGGAAAAATACGAAAAGAAAAAAACCTTAACAGGATAGGAAATAAGTAATCGAGCGAGGTACCTATAGTTAAGGTTTTTCCTTCATGCCTGCGATTAAGATTAAAAGCTTTTCCTTTACACTTTTTTTTCTTTAATTTTCATCGCAACACTATTTTCTGTGACTAAAAGAGTCGCAAAGAAATCAATATCACCTGTCCCAGATTTGAAAGGAAAACGAGACAATAGAGAAAACACTCCGTTAAAATAGGTACTGCAAATGAACATCTCCATTGGATAAAAACAAAATAAGCTTTTATTTTATCGAATGGCTTCGGGCACAAATTAACATATCTTTTAAATATATTTGCTTACGGAACAAAACGTGTTTGCTTAATAAGATCGGGAGAGGGATATACATGTCCAGTTGCAACAAGGCTTTTGTACGATTTTAATCTCAGTTTTCCACACTCAAGGCTCAGTGCCGCATACTAGAGGCAAACTTTCACAGTCAGTCGTAGAAAATTATACAATCATGTACGCTGCGAACATCGAAGTGGTGTCTCGAGCTGTCAACGAGGCATAATGTAGAATCTTCGTTCAAGAGAAAAAAATAGATAAAAACGACTTGGAGAGAAGGCAATAGTAATGAAGGATACACACGAAGACAATCAAACTTCCAATCAGGAGGTGCAAAGTGATTCTGGCTCGGATGATGAACAAATCGTACTCGCCGTTATAGGAGTCGCTGTACTGATATCAAACGGTCTTGTTTGTACACTTTTCTGTCGATACCGTACACTTCGCACAATAACAAACACTTTTATTGTAAGTTTGGCGATAAGTGATCTGATGGTTGCAGCGGTGTTCTTGCCGACATATCTTGCACGTCTGGCTGCAAGCCCCTATATAATCGCCTACATTCTATTTGCTTACCTTTTTAATTTCTGTGGGGTTACCTGGGATCGTTACCAGGCTGTTCTTAATCCACTTACTTACAGATCTAAGGTGACGCGAACGATTGTCTACAAGATACTGGCTCTTGTGTGGATTATACCATTGCTTTTAGCTATAATACCGATATTCTGGGAGTACCAGGAGGATATCAAGTCATCAGCCGAGCGTATTTACCAAGGAATCTTGGTAACAATAGTGACAATATGTAGCCTGTTGATATGCTGGGCCTACGGTCGAATATTTCGTGCAACAAGACGTCAAATGAAAAAGATGATTGAAATGTCCGAGACAAACTCGAGGGTCGAAAACAGTGCAAAGAAACAATTAAGGGGATCAAAACGACTCTCAGCAAATATCTCCAAAGAGGTGAAGGTTGCTAAAGTCTTCGCGCTTGTTGGGGGCACATTTGGAGTCTGCTGGCTCCCTTTAATCATTATTAACGTATTTGGGGCGCTGGGTTTTCCAGAACTGATTCCCGGTACCTTCCTTCAAATATCGCTCTATTCCTTGGTTGGAAATGCATTGGCGGATCCGTTGATTTACTCATTCTATAAGGCAGATTACAGGCGTGCCTTTATGAAACATTTCGGTTGCTCTAAATCACGACTCCGTTACACATCCTCAATGACTAATGACTCTATTTGCACGGAAGAAATACGCAGCAGCAGAGTAGATGAAAACCTAATTCAGACATCTAAATCCGTCAATTTAGCTAACTTATAATAAATCACCCAAACTAATATTCATTAAAGGACTTCCTTCCTCCCGAAAAAAAAAAACAAAAAATACGTGAATAAAAATAAATTCATAAATACAAAATCCACAAGGAGAATGCGTGCTGTTAGTTGCAGGTGAAACAGTTTATTTGCGTAATTATGGTTACAAGCCCGCAATAAAAAGAAAGTTTAAATTTCAGTCTAAACAAAGAACTTTCATTTAGGCACAAACTATAATAGCGCTGGGTACATTAGTGCGAGATACGTTTTCATTTGTAACTGAATGAACCTCCCAAAACATAATTAATCTCTGACTTCAATGTGATCATTTTGGAATGCGTTTCTTTATGAATTTTGCCGATAATTTGTTAGCTGTAAATATTTTAAGTGAAGATGAATGGAAATGATTAATTTTCAAAAAAATAATTGTTGTATTGATATCTTTATTAATTTTTGAACATGGGACAATGAACTGTTTGATTGCATGTGTTGGTGAATTTACACGGCTTTTAACTTAAATTAAGGAGCTGACTAAGTCTATGTCATAAGCACCTGACAATGAAATCAGAAGGTCTTAACAGAGAGATACGAGCAACCAATAAAAATTCTTACGAAAATGGAGAAATGGGATGACATTGATGACATTTCAAGTTAATGAAGCGTTTTGTTTCGTTTCGTTTCCTCGGAATGCCGAGTTATAAGTATGTAGACTTCGACCATTCTTTGTTGATTTTACGCTGTGGTTGTTCAAAAAAAACGGCGAGTATTCGTCTACATATGGCGTGTAATCCCCGCCAAAAATGATTTTGTTATGTTGTGCTAAATTGTGAAATGTAAATTTATTGCAATCGTTTCATGCTTAGTACTGTTGCATCAAATTCGGTGAGAACAACGTACTAATAAATTTATTTTGTGGAATCAAATTCGGTACCACCGTTTCAAATTCGGTTCCAGATCAGTTAAAATTATATTCTGGAGCATCAAATCCCTCAACTTTCCAATTCCTCTTCATTAAGAGGGGTCTATCATATTCGGCAACACCATCAGTATTCAACCAGTAAGTGTTATCTCTTCTTCTTCATCAAATTTCAGTCAGCCTTAGTTCAGTTTTTTGACATCAGATAGATACACTTCTGTACTTTGAATTCAGTCCTGAAATACTTAAATCTACCCTGGCTCATCATTTCTGGGAATTCTGAAATTATCCCTAAAAGTAACAAACTCTGTCTGTCCCTAGTCATCATTATCATCGACAACGTCACCATTATCATATTATGATGTAATATTTCCGCTGCAGAGACCAACACGTGACCAATCATCAACTAGTCGTTTATTGTAAATCTAAAAGTTAGTTTCAATGACCTTTCACCAAGCAATATTTGGGCAACAAAGAAATCTTTGTTTTTAATGTAATATCTTGTTTGTCAAAAGGTGTTGCCTTGGTTTAAATGCTGTGGTAAATGTACATATTGTCCGAGATTCCCATCTCCCATTTCAAGTTCATGATCGTCTTTTTCCCTCCTCTTTATCCTTATAACAGTAAGCTCGGGAATTTTTTCTTTTGTTGATTCCTTATTAGTTCCCACTCTCCGAATTCTCTTAAAGAAAACAACATTTATAGCTTTACGGCGAATTTTGCTGTTGAGAGTTAGGCATACAATTGGATTTATGCAACTGCTTCCAAACGCAAACACAGAGTACGTAACGTACGCCTCGCGAGGCAGGCTTCCTGTTCCCATGATTGCATTCAGGAAATCCACCGCAATTATTGGAGTCCAGCTGATAACAAAAGCAAAAACAAGTCCCAGTAGAAGTTTAGTCGTTCGTAGTTCTTCAGAACTTAGATCACCATTCTGATGGCGGGAACGTGAACGAATCGTGTTTTTCGTTGCAATGACATGTTGCTTCACCGTGCGAAAAACTTTATAATAACACAACGCGATGAGTGTCATGGGTAAAACTGTGTAAATAAGCAACAAGAAAATAGTATATGATATGTTACCCAATTTTCGGCTTGGATCAAATGTCATAAAGCAGGCGGCCTTTCCCGGTCTGAAGATGTAGGTTACCAACCCACCCAAATAAGGTGAAAGAGCAAGAACGAAAGGAAGAGTGCTTACAGCTGCAATCATTCCCAATGTGAATCTTTTGGTAAACCATTTTCGGTATATGCTGGGTCTACGAACACAATAGTATCGATTTATAGCCATTAAGGTTACCAAATGCAGTGAGATCCACACAAGGCAAAGGACTAACACACCTTGAAAAATGCATACACCTTCACTGAAAATCCATTTTCCCTGGATGAAAATAGACGCTGAAAAAGGCATAACTAGCAAGGAAGTTAGTATATCCGCAATTGCTAGACTAACCAAGAAAATGTTTGTGACGGTACGGAGCCTTGGGTTTTGGAAGACCACGCAAATGATTAGCGAGTTTCCAATAAACGATATCATAATAATAAGCAACATCAAACTTGATTCAAGTACTATGGTCACCTTGCCTCTATTTTCTAGTTCGTATTGAAGCCTTTTCAAGTTTTCTTCATCCATTTCGAATTCCAGTTACACGAAAAGGAAATAATCTCAAGACAGTTGACGATAAATAACTGAAGACTTTTGATGAAATCAGTACTCGATGTGTTAACTGAAGTATTGCTGCACAGTTTGTCTAATTTGAAAGAAATAAAATGGTTTTGATTAATTAAAAATCGCAGTTACGTTATTTTCAGATCGAAGCATAGGCAACAAAAATCGTATCGTTTTACCATTTAAATTGTGATGCTGTTTTGGCACATGTGCTAGAGCCTAGATGGCAATTGTAGGAAAACTAAGCACCATAGCATGCGCATAGATTCTTCAAAGATCGGTCTTCAGAAAAACAAGGAAACATGTACGTACAGCTGCTGATAGATATGTCATTTGATTGGGAAAGAACATTGCCGGCTGCTTAAACCATTTAAACAAATCGGTGCTTGCTATTATTAAGAAACAACTCCATTGGCTGAGTTTGACAGCTAATGTCAATTTTCCCGCCGCACTAATGATTTTTGATAACCGGTTGTGTAACACCGTATCCTTTTTAACAAACCTTACTGTACCCGCTTAAAATTACAAATCCACGTGAATTACTCCTTTTGATGTGTTTGAAAACATTACAAAGCGAATAAAATATATGGATATATTTTGGACTTTGACATGAAGTTCAAAGGACAACACAATATAGTAACGAAAATGTAATAGGGAATTTACAAATTAGCACAAAGGAATTAGGTCCTCGTTTATAGACCGTGTTTAGCCTGTCCAAATAATACAAATTAATATTAAAGGCAGTTGTCTTTGGTAAGTTCAGAGTTGGTAATCACAACTGGGGTACCCCATGCGGGAGCTTCAAAGGCCAACATAATAGTCTACTTGCCATGGCTGCATACCACATAAATAATGGCAGCTTTTAGGCGGGGCGAACAGGGCTTGCTAATTAAGAAAGCAAGGTTTTGCTTAGTTTATGGAAAATGTAAGAATCTGTAAGTGCACAGGCTAACACATACCTCCCAACCGCAGCCTTCACTTGTCCGTAATGCATTATCGTTCCCAGAGCCACTTGGGTCAATTTGTAACGGACGAGCGACCAATCGAAGCGACAAGCTCTGCGTGGGAACGAGAATACCCGCAGCGTCATTGGGGATGTGGGGTTCTTTCGAGCCATCCTACCCTTGATCCCGTGAAGCTGCTTTGTAGTGTATGTATGAGTAGTCCTTATCAGCGATTGGTCAAAGCCGCGACCAATGGCAGCAAATGATAACAGCAAATTTGTCACAAGGCTTATTATACAAAAGACAGACACTGAAAAGCTAAAGCGAATTCAGCAGTAAATAGGCTATTTTGGCTCAAGGGATCGTTCGAGTGTCCAAAACGTACAGTAAAGCAAAAACCAGTAGGTAAAGTAAACGAAATTATGTCGCGTGTCCGGTTTCTTGTGCCAGAGAATAAAAATATGAAATGTAACAAGAGATATTAGGGACGGACCATTAAAAAACTTATGGGGGGGTAATACAAAAAAAATATTCTCGCAAGGGAAAATTAAATGAAAAAAAAATTCATGCACACCAATTAATCCTGAAAAATATTCATGCCATGGCTTAAAAAAAAATCATACATGGAATCTGATAGCGGAAAAAAATTCCTGCGGTTGAAAAGTTCCCCCCCCCCCCATAACTTTTCTAATGGTCTGTCCCTTAATATCTTTCATGAAACGATGTCAAATTTGTTTAATTTGCTAATCCAGCGTGTTCAAACAGTTGGAAGGCAAAGGGACAAAAAATAATCTGAGAAAATCCATTCTGCCTTGCAGTAACAATAAGAAAATAATAAAAAGAAAATGAAGAGAAAATAAATGAAATAGAGTGGAAACAAGACATAGAGAATTAAAAAGAAAACAAAAGAAATGAACAGTGAAATATGTAATATGTCCTGTGTTAAAAAATACCCGCACCTCCTTATAAACTCTTAATGGCGTAGCTGGTATCCATATAATTGTAGTTTCTACTCTAGTATGTGTTTGGTCTCACACTTAATTGATACGATATGGTGCAGTCATTATCTTTTACACCGATACGATAGTCATTATCCTTTGTTAGGAAAACGTCTCCTTCACAGTGTCGTCCTGTTTCATGAAATGATGTTTTTGAAACTTCTGGCGCTATCCACCTTTTCAGCTTGATTAAATAAAGGAGCGTCGAACATGCAATTAAATTTGAAGCATTTAGGAAATAATTATGTTTTACCGAAAAATTGTCAACCTGGAACTAATTGGATTGCATTGAACTACACCGAAAAGCCTATTGTCTGTGAGCTAGGGGGGTTATACACATTTTACAGTGCGAAATCAAAGAGGTTCCTGTTCTGTCCTTAATCCAATCGCCTTTCAAGGTGCATTTTTGTTTTCCTAAATAAACGGGCTAAATTAATATAAATCGACAATGTGATCTTCATGATGACTATTTTTGTCTCATGCAACGCATGTCTAAGATTGAAGAGCGGATGGGTGAGAAGGGGGCTTAAAAAAACATCAAAAAGTTTAAGGAGAGAAAATTGAAAAAAGGTAAATACTGTTTGACGGGTTGAAATGAGTTACATGGTCTGATCTTCGGCAGATAGAAAATTAACTTGTATAAAATATGGAAAGCTAGTCTCAGGTCTGTTGAGTTGTCGGTTATGATTAATGGCCGACCTTCAAAGTGGTACCTCCACGTTGAGCTCTTCAACTAGCTTTTATAATTTCAATGCACTCAAACTATTAATAGTTCCAGTGACGCCAGCAGTTTTAAGATGGCAGAAGATTTTAGTAGGAGTATTTCCTTCAAATCAATTACTAAATAGGTTTTTTCAAAATGATCTTTAAAAAATCATTAAAATACGGGATGGCGGGAGAACTGGTGTCCTTCAATACTCGCCAGCTCAGTGATATTTACCGACAAAGGAATTGCTTTGCTTTAATTATTTCCTAGGAATTGTGCGTGATATTAGTGTGGCACATTGGACAATCATAAAGCGAACAGATTATAAAGCCGGTCGGCTTAGCCTGTCAATTGAGAAAAATAAACGTATAAGCACTATGCGGGATAAGAAAGCTTTAAAAGCTAAATAGACTGCTACCGTATATTTATTTAAGACTGGCAGGCGGGAATTAATACGAAAGGGCCGCTGAGATTCTTTAGGACTGAGGTAAAAGCATGCAAGATCGATGCTAAATAATGCACGCGCATAAAAATAGTATGCACTCATTACCCTACAGAACCAATCAAGGAAAGACGGTCGAGAGAGCTGTGCACAAAACGACACTGTTTTACAAAGTAAATAGACCCTTACTGCATTATCAGCGACAAAGGAATAAAAATGATAATAAATTTAAATGACTTGGCTTGATTTTCATTTTTTCCAACGATTTTCCCAGTCCCTGAAAAAAAAAAAAGAAACAGTTTGCAAACGGATCTTCTGCAGAACTCATAAAGTTCAGCAAAAAAAATCCATGAACGTTTTTCACTTACCAAAATTTCTATAATTTCGTTTATTTCGAAATACTTATTTTCTGCCGACTATATATCATAAAATTGCACAAAACAGACTTAATTCAGACTTAATTACGTCAACTCTCTCAGTCAGTTATCGGACTGGATCGGGCACACAATACATGTCAAGAATCTCACTCTTGCTTTCAATTGACTGATGATTTGAACAAAAAGGTTCTTTGATAAATAATTTACTCTTGATATTGTATCCTGTTGGAGTCGTTCAAGAAATTAGCATAATTATGGTTTACGCTATACACAGATGGCTGATGAATGCTTGAAGATATACCGATGCTCATTTACCCTATAGGGCATGAATGAGGTTCGAGTTTTTCCCTTGTCTCCATTCACTTTCATGATTTCAATCCATATTCACCACACGGAAACAATTTGGTAGAATACTTAAGTTTCATATCAAAATTCTTAGTTATCCATTGGTTTTAATGAATCCATCTCACTTACCACAAGGCGCGCCTCACTGCTCTGTAATTGTTTACTGTTGGAATAAGATGAAGAAATTCTTCCAATGAGTACACCGGTTTCTTTAATATTTTCTTTGTGTTGATTAGAAAGCATAAAAAATAAGAGACGTCAAAATACCGGGTAGCTTGGAGTTATTAGCATTCAAAACGATATTATACGAGCAGAGTTCTGCTGTTTTCTGGGTTGGTCAATTGCCTTCCTTCTGCGTCAATTCCGTGTTACGCAAGAGTATCCAAGAGATCATTATTAATGATGCCTTGAATTATTCTAATGCCCTTCATACTCGCTTTAATGCACGAGAAGGTTATGAGGTTAATATCTGGAGTCACCGACGCAATTATCCTTTAGGGAAAATATATATTTGCTACGTGCAAACTTTGCAACTTTTTAGAAAGGGAAACGGAAAGGGCAAATGTGGATTCTGACATGCTGGACGGGCGTGTCGAGTACACGGATATTCATCAGACAAAAAGGGAGTTTTTTGTCATGTGTTTAAGAGTGGACCAATACATGCACCGCTATAAATATCTTCTCAGTTCACAAAAGCATCAGTTTTTATTTACCTTCAGCGGGGAAACAAGTTTTCTGATTAAGATGACAGACCTATCGGATGGAGCCTTGGCTTTACGTTCAAGAAGCAAATTTACCACGGCCGTTGAAGGAGGACTAATATTGTTAATCAATTTCGTTTCACTGTTTGGTAATTTACTCATTTGTTGTGTTATCTACATCAAGCCAAGATTCTACACGACTACAAACGCTTTTATCCTCGCCTTGTCCGCCGCAAACGGATTCATTGCCTCCTTCGTCATGCCGTTCACATCTGCTTCCTTGATAACAGGCAAGTGGCAGTTTGGGAAGACTTTGTGTGACATCCAAGGATTCACATTCCTCGCGTTAACATGGATATATTTATTGACACTAACACTTGCGGTTAGTAGTCATTTATTTCAGATAACCCGGTTGCCCCTTTACAACAAATGGTTTTCGGTCGACCGTGCGTATGGCATGATCATGGTGATCTGGGTCATAGTGATAATAATTGCGATATGTTTCGAAGCGGCTGGGGCCTCCACTTATCGATTTTATCCTGACGCGGCGCTATGTTCCTTGGCCCCCAACAAAGGAGACTATAGCCTAGGCACGTCTTATGCGGTAATCACACTGGCATTATGTAAAGCTTTGACTGTTTTGTCACTGCTGACATGGTGCAAAATCAAAAGGCGTATTAACGTGTCCGTACACGCTTCTGGACACGTCCAAGAAGGAAGAGAAATTTTGCTGAGAATTTTTGCAGAGAAAAGAAAAACAAATCGAGTTTTACTTTACCTTACGACTGCAGTTCTTCTCTTCTGGTTACCGACTGTAGTCATCAGGATTTTGGCATTTTCCATAACGCTTCCACGTCAGATACATCTTACCTCTACTTTTTTCTGGATTTCCGTCCCTGTACTTCATCCTATAATATACGGAGCTTTGCAAAGACCTTTCTCAAGGGAGATTCTAAGGGCCATGCCGAGACTAAAAAATGGTAAAAATAAGGTTCACGCTGAACACACCGTCTGATCACAAATTGTTTTAAAAGTATCTTCAAACAGTTATTACGGAAACCAAAGAAGTGGAAAGCAAGCTATCTAAAGACTTAACGGTCGTCCTTTATTTTTATTAGTACGCTTGATCCCGCAGAACTTTAGCAACTAGAGAAAATTTGACAGTGAAAGAGGAGAACAACACTGGGAAAAAAATATTTACTTGACGCAAAAATAAAGTTAGCAACTTTCGGTTTTAATAGCATTTATAGGTATATTTTCATATTGATTGATCCTAGTATTTTTGATATTGTGACTTTAAAATAGTGCAAATTGTAACGTAACTAATTTTGATACGGAGGTGTGTCACAGTGTAAAGTACGTAAGGATAAAAAGCAAATTAAAACACACAACATTTAGGTGTTGGCCCTTTTCTCTACTTAACGGATTGTTATGTATATTAGAAGCTTCAAGGTACAGTGTATCTGATTTAATACATTGACAATGCGTCGCAAAATTACCGCGATCGTGTATTCATTATATTTTGTTTGATATTAGATTATTGCGCCTTTAGTGTGGCTCAATTTTGATGAAAATGACGCACACTTATTTTCTGTTCCCTAAGATGTTACTCGCCCTTAATAATAATAATAATAATAATAATAATAATAATAATAATAATAATAATAATAATAATAATAATAATAACAACAACAACGATGATAGTAGTGGTGGTGGCGGTGGTGGAGGTGGCGGCGGTGGTGCTGGTGAAGGTCGTGATTATCACGTAAAAGCACAACAATTATTGCTTATGCGCGAAGCCACCCCGGCTAAGACACGAACTATAGGGCATAATGAACATGTCTCCCATCAGAAAGTTATCGCCGTTACTATTGCTTGTAACTGACTGTTATTGTCATTATCACCGTCGATGGTGGTCTTATAGTCTTTGCCTGTCATACTCGCTGAGTAAACAGTGATAGTTCCATGAAAAAAAAAAAAATAGATATCTCGAGAGTATGACCAGCGTGGAATCCTTTTTAGCGGTGTATCGGGTCATATCCAAAACACATCCGCCTTTTCCGCGATTGCATATTTTCGAACCTCAGAAATCTTGAGCAGGAAGTTGCCCTTTGATATACCTGTGTTAAGTATTCCTTTCGCTGCTCAGTTCAAGGTTGGCCTGGTGTTATGTTTTTGCTTAATTGTTCATCATCCACCGCTCTCATTTGTGATGTCTTAAACTTATTTAAAAATCAACCGATATTTATGTTTCCCCTATAGAGAATACTGGTGTTGTCACTTCACCAGCTAGGGAATTAATGTTGTTTAATAGTTTTATCAGAAATTTGTGTTCATATGAACATACATGCGAGAAAGCGTGGTACGGCCACCGCACGGAATTTTTGGGGCTAAAGGAACTTGTGCGTGAGTGTTTCGTTCACGGCCCATTAGACCAAGTGGGCAGTGGACGTGTTTGCCTGAACGGCCACTTCACAAGTCACAAGAGCAACGTGTATACATGTATGTGGGTGAGTGATACCACCTCCGCACAAAGGTGGTTAAGTGGGTGGGTGGGTATGGCCAAATAAGAGTTTGTTAACCAATGAAAAGAGTGGGGGTGGAAGGGGGGGGGGGGTGGAGTTGGAAGGCGTTTGCATTGTTCTAGCTGTTAGCAAAGATGCTAAATGTCAGCTTTCAATTCAGTTGGTTTGTCCCAACATAGTTTGTCCAAGTCAAATTATATGCCAATTGATCTCAGGTGGGAAGCCATTGACATAAAATCATCACTTTAGATGAGCGAATGAATAATGATTTTTTTCTCCTCGAGTTTTTGTTTCTTTTCTGTAGTGCTTCATCCTAGATTCTGCATGACAACGATAATAATTTCAAGTGGATTTTCAGGACTTTTCTGCGCTTCATTTCGGTAGAAAGGGAAATTAGGGACTAGGCTAGCGCCATCTGAAAAACTTGTCTGTTGTAATTTTTTTTTCTGTGACAGATGTTTCTTGTGCAATACTCTAACACACACTGGAAACGACAGAAGCTTATAACTTAATTAAAGAAGAGAAATTTCGACAAGTGTTTAAAATTGTTGCCACTTGCTGTTATCAATTCACTCACAGACTTTCGTAGGTTTCTTTGACAAACGGCCGTTGGAAACAAACAGATAAAGTGCAATATGTAAATTTCGTTCGTCTTTATTATTTGCATTGTTTTACTTCCTGAGAGATCATTTTCTAACTTTCGAAAGCCTCGAAAAGTGTCTGGGCTTTTGTTCATCAACAATATAATTTACAGAGACAGACTTTTCTGACTTATCTTTAGGTATTGTTGTTCTTCTTTTTTTGTACCATTTTAACAATGTATTTTGCCATAAAAAAAAAAAATATCATTAGCTTGTTTCTTTGGTTTTGTTTTTCATTGGTTTTATTATTATTTTATTATTTTTTTGGAACAGTTTTTTGTTTCTTTCGCTTGATTGTTGTTGTATATATTTTGCTTCCGATTACTTTTATTGTTCAGCTTTAAACAGTTCGTCATTCGCTGTGTATAGCACAACACGATCATGTACTTTTTAAATTACTTTTAGTTTTCTTACGATTGCATTTCCAACTCATCCGCTCATTTAAAATTTGTACCGATTTAACTGTGTTTATTGAAAATTGGTCTGTGGTTTGTAGTTTTGTAAGAAAAGACGAATACTGATAATTGGTTCATATTAAAGACCACATGAAAATATTGCGATTCTGACGCTGTAACAAACAAGCTACAAAATGCTTTTCAGTGGGGAACAACAATTCGCGCGATAAGCAGTCGATTAAGTTGAACTAGAAATCGAGACGTCTAGACACAATATTCATTTTTCATGCGAACTGTTTGATGATTAAAGCTAGAGAAAGTTTGGAAGGCTTATAGGAAACTTGAAATAAAGGAAACAAAAAGTTCTAACTCATTTATTAAAGAGACAATATTTATGTTCTACCTAAGTGCAGCAGACCTCATTTGTAACCAGACTGATATTATCACATTTTTTTTTCAACCAATACGTCAATAATAAACGACAGAGCTAGGGGTGAAATTGATATTTCTTTGCACATACTATTTAGTTTTGGTGCCATAAGTTCATTGCTAATGTATCTTGAGAGGCTCGAGGAAGGATGCTCAATTATTTGGAACAATACAAGTTCATGTTTTGTGGCGCCCGGCTGTCTGTCTTCCGCAATTATTATTGGTGCGGTCACGATAAAAAGGGAGGAAATTATTTCTTTTCATCCTATTTATTGGAGTAAGCAGCTGTTTAAGAATAGGAATCGGAAACAATTATTTTTTCTCCCAAGCAATTTTCTGATTCCGTGTAATCCTTACATTTAACAATTCAACCCCCTCTTCTTTATTGGAAAGACCATGAACATTTCCTCGCTCTCTCTTGAGTATCGAAGCTTATCACAAGTTATATTGGAGTCATCTCTTTGTATTTTGCTAACTGTAGTGAGTTTTGTTGGCAACACCATGGTCATAATTGCAGTCTATAGAAACAGACGGCTTCGAACAACAACAAACCTCTATATCATTGCCTTGGCAGTCAGTGATTTATCTTGCGCCGCTGTAGAAATGCCGCTCACTTCAGTAACACTCGCTGTTGGTGAATGGATCTTTGGTTACGTGCTTTGTCAAATTGAGGCTTTTGTGGATATTTTTGTCACTTACGTTTCGCCGGCAACCATTAGTCTTACAGCTCTCAACCGGTACGTTAGGATTGTTAAGACAAACCAATATAACCGGCTCTTTTCCCCTAGACGTTCTAAACTTTATTTGTCTTTGGTATGGCTACTGCTGTTTTCCTACATCGTCCTGGCGAGACTGACAGGCTGGCAAAAATTTGTCTTTACTCCCGGATATGCAACGTGCATAATAGGACACCTATCTGAAATCAGAAAACTTCTTCACTACATTGCATTGGGAGTCTTCTACTTCTTTGTTCCACTTGTTATATCATCTTACAGTTATTTTAAGCTATTTCAAAAAGTCCATGAACACCACTTGATGGTCACCCCTTATCTTCAGAATTCAATGAGTCGAGCGAGGATCACACTTAATGAAATCAAAATGAGCAAAACTCTGTTTTTTGTCGTTGCAAGTATCTTTATATGCTGGGTACCATTTTGGGCGATTCTCGTCACGGAACGTTTTTCTCTTGTAGTCATTTCCAGAGAAGTTCAATTACTCGCTGTCCTCCTCTTGTTTCTAAGCTCTACTGTAAATCCTTTTATATACACTTGTACAAACCGCGCTTTCAAAAGAGAATTCTTGAAGATTATGTTTGCATGGAAGATAACTCTAAAACAGCCAAATCAGCGTGTTGGGTAAAGAACACTCGCGTGAAAGTGAAAGAAATAAATGGTGCAGTCTAGCGCCTTCCCTTGCCTCGTTCTACACTTTTTGAAAACTCTGAAACTTTAAATTATTAAAGGGAAATAAACTTGTAGAACATGGAGGTAATAAGACTGGCTGGAATCCCCCATAAAATATTTCTTGATGACATAAATTTTTCTTGGAAAATATGATCGGGGGAAAGCTAGTTATTGCGAATGTCTTCACCTGTGAACACTTTGAAACTGCGGCTCACTGTACAGGGCAAATTCATCCATATGGCAAATGAAATCGTCATTATCTGCATCCCAGCAAACAGAGTTCACCCAAGGCAAGACTCCGCCAACATCAATAATTGACTTAAGGTGGCTCGATACAGTTTTTCGGGGTCAATACCTATTAAAGTTTGAGCAAGAATATTAAATTTTAAAAAATTTTCGAAAAATTTAAAAATTATTCACAATTTTTAGATGAAGATGAAAAAATGTTTACAAAACCGCAACAAGAGCGCCTCGATACATACGAAATGAAACCCTTTTTTACTAGCAATCGGTCTCGGCACTCCCAACTGATCTTTCATTCACACGCTTTTTCCTCCATTGAAACTACTATGTTCGTGAAATTTCATGTCGAAAGTGTAAGAGCATTTTCGAAAGATAAAGGGGAAAAACAATTTGTCCATTTTTTATGTGTTTCTAAAATGGACAAAAACTTTGTCCCAAAATTATCTCGAAAACGCTCTTTTGGATTTCAAACGTCACGAATATCGAGGCTTTTGGAAAAAAAGCGTGAAAGAATGATTTTCGAAGAACAGTTCCCAGTGCCGATTGCTAAGAAAATAGGGTTTATTCATTTCGTTGGTATCGATGGCAACCCTGATCAGAACAAATTTTCATCTTTATCTCATACAACTGTGGTGGCAATATTCCAAAACTTTGTTTTTGGCGACGTAGTTTATGCTCAAACTTGGCAGGTATTGACCCTGAAAAACTGTATCGAGCCACCTTAAAGATTATTATGTAAAGGAAAATAATGCACAAACATCATTTGCATGAGTAATAGCAGATTTTTCTCAAATATTTTCTTATTGGATACAACAAGTAACATTAAAAAGAAAATATTAATGACAAGTAATAAAATTTATCATTATAGTATGTTATGCGGCTTCGTTATTGTTAAACTACACAGACTTTTTTCCAAGGATTCATATCGAATTCACTTTTAACTAACTAACCCCGTTTTGTTAAACAGTTGTGGTTTGCTTTAACGTCTGGACTGCCAAAACTATCTGCAAATATCAGTGGAAGATACCACTGCTATGGCTTAGGCGGTGACAAAGGTTTACACTGTTGAGGTGGTTATACTTGACCAACAAAAGCAATAAATAAGTGTTGGAAATTTGGGATAATGATGAGGAAATGTGATCGTGTCGAGGCATACCTTTGGAGAAAGCGCAGTGTGCAAAGAAAGTATGTAGAATTTGTAAACCCGCCCACTAATAATGGATAGGATTTACAGATGTCCATCATTTCATTCCCATGAAACATCTTCAAGTTATGCACTCAAAATTTAGAGAAATATTAAATAATAAGTCGCCTGTTATTTTATAGGCATCATTCCTGATCACTCTTTGCTCGGTAGTGGTGCGTGTCTCTCCTTGAGGCGACCAATGTTCGATTGAAGGTTCCATCTTCTACAATCGAATTCTTTTTAACTTTCGGCGTGGTCGCTTCTGAGTTTACTCCCATCTGAGGCTCAGTCCGAGATTATCATCATAGCTTGAGCGAAGGAAGAGTCTCACTGCCTTAGATACTGTATATTACCTGTCAAGTGTTTGAGGAGAGTAGAAATAACAAAAATGGGCTTGATGTAACACCAACCATCTGGCCTGTAAACCTGATACACTAATACCTTAGTTTTAGCTGATTTAACATCAATCTTTTCACAAAAATCGCAGAAAATCTCAGGCTTTTGCGATGTCTCCAAATACTGCAACAGGATTGACTCGAAATCTGATCAGTGTGTCTGGGAAGTCGGGGTGAGCCAATTCATAAACAACGCAAAGTTTCTTTTCAGTCCGTACTACATAACGAAGAGGAAGATAATAATTCTTTCTCTCTTCAGCTTTTTCTAAAAGGTCAACTTTCTCAGTAATTCGATTCTTTTACCAAGCTGATACTTAATCACATGATCATACTCCTTGAGTTGCTCTGGATTGAGTCCGATTTTGAGGACTGTTATCTTGATAGGTGTAGATTGCATTTGTTTCGCAAAGGATCGTGATGCTTTTTCCAAGGGATTCCTACTTCGTATCTCTGTTATGATCACATTGAATGTCTCCAGAACAGATCATGTTTTCTTCCCGATTGTTCCAAGTGTTCACCCCTGGTCCAGTTTCTTCTCTATTTATTTCTGTATTCTGAGAGCATCAACAAGGATCACATGGTTCACTGCTTATTAAATTGAAAAGGTGTAGAAACGAGGTAATGTTTGAAGAGGCCTAAACACTATAATCCATCCGAATATTAATTCATGGCTACCGGCAACCACTACTTCCACACCTGGTTCTCCCTTTTTCGACATTCCGGTACGGAATATCAGTTCAGTTAAGCCGACCTTCTTTTGCAAACTGAACCTTTTGATTGCTTAATCATTGAAAAACAGATGAAAGGAATAGTTCTGTATGTGCTGAGAAAACTAAGGGCTGCATTAATGTCAACGTTCTTTAAGCACAAGTTCACACAACTTCAACTGTCTCAGCACTGTTTCAGTCTAGGCCACCTTTGTAGATGATCGTTTACCGCAATTAGACGAGTATGAGACAGACTTAAAAGCCGATCTCTCTGATAACGAGGTCGAGAATATTTTAGGTTAAGTTGCCAATGTTAGCAGATGCGGACGGCTTCTAGTTACTTACGTTCATAACTGTTTATAGCTACATCATCAGAGATGTCTATGGTTAATGAACAAATGAACATACTGAAAGTTAGCCAAAAGTGTGTTCACGGCTCATTGCCAAAAAAAAAAACTAGGGATTAAGTGTGCCTCTGTTGTCATTATGAAAGTTCAAAAGAGCCACAATTGAAAAAGGAGCTGCAGTGTTTCGCCTGTGAGGAAGTGGGCACGAAACTCTCAAGGTTTGTTGATCGCTTCGACGGCACTGATTTTACCTATAGTTTAGACTTTTACAAACCGTCCAGAACCTCACAACATGGCTGTTTTTGTTTTTCTATTCTGGAGGGTCGGAACAGGGAACACAGGCAATGGTCTGGGTAAACCTTGACATGCCTAAAGGATTATTCAATTATTATTTGTGGGCTTGTTTTGACAACTGATTTTTTGATGCAGAGTGAAGTATACCTGCTCTGGCTTAGACTGTTCACAGTCCTCTATTTTTCGGTAAGATCATCGAGATCGAGCACTTTGTGTTACGGGCTGCCATCTTGCATGAGTGTCAAAACTACTTAGGGGTCGGGGGCGGTTTGGGAGGAAGCAAGAAAAATAGAGGGACTATAATAACATCACTGCAGCTCGCGTTCAGGAGGTGTGACAGGAATTTCACGCCTTTTACCATTCATTAATTAAGAAACTCCGCTGGTGATGAAAAACATGCCAGACACATTTAGCATAGATTACGCAAATATCTCCTTGCGAAACAGTGATTTTATAATGTTTCTGGGCCATTCCTCGAAATAAAATCGGCAAACGTGCACAAGAAAACATTTTCCTAATCAAAATACCAAAAATCCTTCGGGCGCAAGATGTGCCTTATGGTATAAAAGAGTACGTTTTATGGAAACGTCGACTTGTCAACGACTTGTCAAACCCGTTGTCAACGCAAATTAACATCTATTGTCTAATGACCAATCAAACGCCTGCGTTGCTGGTACAACGCGCTCCGTGAACGCGAGCTGCAGTGATGTTATTACAGTCCCTCCATTTTTCTCCACCTTCCCCCAACCCCCTCCCCGAGCTATAATCCCCGACGCCCGCCCCCTCGGTAAATTTTGAAAATCGAGAAACCCGTGACGGTAAGACGCGGTATATCTAAACGATCTCTCGAAAAAATAGGGGACTGTGAACAGTCTAGCTCTGGCTAATTTTCCATCTTTGCTTATACTTGATGTGTTGTTTCGCATTTGCTTTCCTGCTGCGATGGAGATACTGGATTTTCTTCGACCATCTGATACAATTCTTTTCCGTCTAGGATGTCTTGGGCTGTACTAGTATTGTTTTGTTGGCTTAGTATATAGCTCATCTCTCCCTCTACAGTTTGATAAATTTGACTCACTTCTGGGCGATGACCAGATTCTGATTTAGAAAGATGCTTGTTTTGACGCCTCACTCGATTTTTAGCCAAAATAGTGCTAAGAGTTTCTACCTCTTCTGTCTTAAACTCTCCACCCGCCGACAAAAAGCCAACTTTACTTCCTCGATAACGATTGCAAAATATAATTTTTCGGAATTCTCTTTTGAAGACAGGATTCATTCCAGCATATATAAACGGATTAATTGTGTTGGAAAAATATAGTAGAAACATGCATAGCAGTTCAACGTTTCGAGGCATGCTGGCGACAAGACGGAACCGTCGCAAAACGACGATAACCCAAAACGGGATCCAGCAAATCATAAATGCAAAGACAACAGCAAATAGAGATTTACTGACTTTAATCTCGTGTGGTGTGATGTAGGTGTGTCTCTCGCTTCGCTGTATTGCGTATAGTGCATCTGCGTTGTGTTGTTTTATCATCCTGGCAACTTTTATGTAGCTTATTATCGTCGCCATTAATGGTGTTAAAAAGAACAAAGTGAGAACAATGCCATAATGGATTAATTTACCACTTTCGCTGAGATGAGCAATGGAGCATTGAGCGTAGCCCTGAACGAACTCGTATGCTTGAAGACCAGCTAGACGTGGAACAACGGTGTAACAAGCAACAAATAACCAGACAGTCCCGAGTAAGGCGCGCGACTTGTGGGCTGAAAACAGTTTCTTATATTGTCTGTCTGACTTGCACATTCGCACATAACGGTTAACAGCCGTTAAACCCATGGTTACAGGTGAAACATAGATGACAAACAGGCTGAAGAAGGCGTGAAATTGGCAGAACACTCCGCCGAAAATCCACTTGCTGGTTAACAGTACACCAGTTCCAAAAGGCATGACAAAAACAGCTGATAATAAATCGCTGAGAGCCAGGGCAATGATATAAAGATTTGTAGTTGTGCGAAGCCGCGTGTTCTTGTAGACAGAAATACAAACTAACGTGTTTCCTGTCAAGGACAACACATTCAGGATTATAAGCGAGGTAACTTCGACAACGGCTAAAGACAAGCTCCGTGAACTCAGTTCGTCCGCCATTCTTGATCATGAGAAGAAGGTTTCAACAAGACGTTTTGGCTGAAGTATTCTTTTCTGGTATCGCGTCAAACCACTTTGAAAACGAGCAATACCTTTTAAAAGTTGGTGAATTATTTTCAGTTTCTTTATCCAATCAATATAGCCAAGTTTTTTTCCCTTGCTTCACCAGACGTGTAAATATTGAAGCAATTCCATTTATACAGAGGCTGGCTTCCTCCTTATCCCTGCATGCCAAATGGATTTACTTGTTGTACCTCTAAAGTTTTTGTTTCCCGTAGTATTTGTTTACGCTGTTTTCTTTTTGTAGGAAAAGAGGAATATGTTATCACTGCAAGATTATTTGCAAGTAATACCTTTGATGACACATGGAGAAGCAGGTGAATCGTTGTAATATCCCATTCAATCTATTGTCCGGTTCTTGCTGCTAACAAATAAGAAAGGAAACATATATTTCTAGGAAAGTGCATCCCGCAGTCTGTAGATAATGGATGATAAAAACGTTATTTTCATTTTATCAACAGACAAATAGCACTAGAAGATATCCTACAATTGTTGAAATTCTTATTGTTTCTTTTACTGAGGTAACCATCTCATCAAAGGCTTCCAAAATTATCGTGACATTTTTTGTTTGTTTTAATATAATCAAGTGGTACCACCTTCAATTTTTCTAAGCATGCACCCACAATACTTAGTATGCAATTCCGGAGAAAACAAACACAATGGGCAATCTTCCGCCAGTAAATATATCAGAGGAAAACAAAGCTTTCGATGGAATAGTTTCTGATAATTATAACAGCAAGAGTTAACAAGGTGAACATCAATAGTATTGCCAACCTCTGAGTAATCAGTTTTAAACAATTCCGACGCAATACATCAAATTCTGTCCCTCCACGATACGGGAAAATACACTTCAGAAACCATAAACAAATAAAGGAAAAGGCTAAGTGCTTAAAAGCTGTCGAAATATCAAATCAACTTTTTAATCTGACTGTGTACTTTGGTCCACGTTTTAAGTTGACCATTCTTAGTGCTACTTATCACCCTTCGATTTGATGTAGATTTTACTATGCAATGTTTTAAGCCCGCTGTTAAAAAACAACAAGAAAAAAAAGTGTGTGTGTGTGTGTGTGTGTGTGTAGCGGCCAGACAGACCGGTGGAATAATTATGAGTGCTTCTGACATTGGAGAAAACTTTATTTTTCATTTAACAATATACAATAGCGCGGTAAAGGCGGTAGTGCATTTGAATTTAAATATGACATTGTTAATTAAACGTGAATTTGAGAAATAAATGAGAAATACATCTCATAATACAAAAAAAAAAAAAAATAGACTCGATTAATTTCTGTCACTAGCAAAGAAAAAACAAACTGTAAAGTTTACCAGAATTGTTGGGCTATAAATCCGAAATTATGTTCAACCTCATCTCATAATTACATTTGTCTTGCGAACCTTTCTTCGTTTCACATACGTGTACGATGAAAAGACGGATAATATTATTATTAATATATAATGATAATAATAATAATAATAATAATAATAATAACAATAATAATAATAATAGTCATATTATAAAATAACTAACTAAGATAGTACGCGCGCTCTGATTGGCCGAGAGGCGTGCTTGCATGAGAATATGTAATATGAGACTGATTAAGCGTACAAGCTTTATTTACCCATTCCTTCGTCGGCTGAAACTTAATCGTTACAAAGAAGGTGTGTCAATTTTTCTTCAATAACCTGACATTTCAAGCGATAAAAATCCCTATTTTGGAAAGCATCTTTTTGCGAAATAAGCACTGATTACGCGTGCAAGACTTTGTGAACAAGACTTTGCGACTCGTAAGAATTTCTCTTTTAATCAGTGCCATATAAAGAGTTTTGCGATTTTTCTTGGGTAAGTTATTTGCATAGCCCGATATAAACACGAGAGGGGTTGAGAGAATTCTCGACAGTTAGGCAAACCCTCGACTTCGTCTCGGGTTTGCATAACTGTCTCGAACTCAAAAATTAAATTTATTTTCCTAACTCAAAATACACATTACTACAAGAACCTCTGAGAAAAAAAATAGTTTTGAACGCAAGACTGTAGTTCTTGTAGTAATGTGTTCTTTCAGTTTAAACAATAAGGCGTTTTACATATTATAGGCACTTTGATGTTTATGAAACAAAAATGTAAAACGAGATTGCTGTTAACAAAATAAATAAATAATAACAGTAATTATAATAATAATTTAAGAAATGTTTATAGAACGCAACATTTCTAGAAGCTCATGGCGCTTTAAAAAAATAACAATTACATTTTCTTTTACGATTAAAATGTTTTTTGACAATATAGAAATTAAAATTTTTTTTATTTTATATTGTCAAGAAACATTTTAATCGTAAGAGAAATTGTAATTGTATTTATATATCAACTTGGCATATAAATAAATACTGTATAAATAAATATATCAACAAATAAATAAATACTATATAAATATTTCTATTATCATTATTATTATTATTATATATCATTTAGGCATCGTTAAAGTATATTTATTATTCATTATTTTTGAAAAATAATGAATAATAAATATTTTTTAACGATTGCTAAAAAATAAAAAAATATAGCTAATAAAAAGCTTATTTAAAAAGAAATGTTTTTAATTTGTTTTTAAAAACATTTAGGGATTTGGATTAGCCTTATGCCGTTAGGTGATGCGTTCCAAAGTCTCGGGGCAGCCACTCGGAAAGATCTCTCTCCATAAGATTTCAGATTAGACTTTTGCATGTCAAGGAGATTGTTTGAAGAGTATCTTAGTTGCCTCGTTGAGGTATAGCGCTTAAGAAGATCAACAATATATTTCGGACCCACGCCATTCATTTCTTTATACGTAAGAAGTAGTATTTTGTACGTTATTCGGCGTTTGATTGGTAGGCAGTGTAATTGACAAAGTTCTCAGCCTCGTGGCGAGGAGCACAGTTTTGAACATACTGTAGTCCATCGAGAACCGATCGTGGTAACCCATACAGAAGTGCGTTGCAAAAATTCAGCTCGGATGAAATAAAAGCAGGAACAAGTATCTCAACTTCGTTTTGAGAGAGACAGTTCAGTATTTTTGCCATATGTATTCCGTAAATGGAAGAAGGCTGTTTTGCAGGTATTCATAACATGGTTCTCCAAGTTGATATGAGAATCAAACGTTACACCTATATTTCAATCACTACTCGAGACTTTGATATATTAGCCAGCTACGCAAAAATAGCCTCAATAGCTAGGAGTTCTTTCTTTTTTTTTCTTTCTTATTCAGCTTTAAGGTGTTTGCGAGCAACCATGCATCAATGTCATTTAAACAAGATTCAATCGCTCGTACTGAAGTGGCCTGGTCTTGAAGCTTGAACGAGCAGTATAGCTGGGAGTCATCTGCATAGAAGTGATATGCTAGGCCATGGGCTCTTACAATGTCATCAAAATATTGAGAATTTAAAATTGGGAACGTACACATTATTTTGCTAAATGTGAAGGAAAGAAAGTGTTGTTCACCTTTACAAATACGTAACTATAAACTACTTACTTTTGGTATAGGCCAATACATGAATATTGTAAGGTTTCACAGGGCTAGCCTGAAAAAGCCTCAGATAATCCACTTCCTGTTTTGTGTAACGCCCCCCATTTTAAGTCCTTTGCCTAGAAATACTTCAAAGGAAAATAAACTTCTTTAAACTATGTGGTGTAAAATTCCGATCCCTCAACCTTAACTACTTGTTTGCGTTCTTCGAGGTAGGACTTGAACCAGTGTAGGGCTAATGCCAATTATGCCGAAGCGAGAAATGAGTCTGTGCAAATGGCCGATCCCATGGTCGACAGCGTCGAAAGCTGCCGACAAGTCAAGAAGCAGTAGAATGACATATGACTGATTGTCAATCGCTGAAACAATATCATTATGAACTTTTACGAGAGCTATTTTGGGACTAAGAAAACTTTTGTAGGCTGATTGTAAACTGACTTCTAGATCATTTTCTTTCAAGTAATTAGTTAGCTGGTAGGAGACCGCCTTCTCTATCACGTTGGAGATTAATTTTCAAGTTAAAGATAGGCCTAAAATTACCTCATGGTAAAGGAAGTTTTTCTTCATTTTAGGCCTAATTATGGCCTCTTTAAGTTGTATTGGCATAGTAGCTGTTTCAATTGACATGTTTATCATCTTGGTTAACACAGGCAACAGCAAGTCCATTCAGTCTTTCATTATTGATACTGGAAGAGGTCCTAAGTTACACATGCCTTTAGACATGAAGAGTCAGTTCACCTGGTCTTCAGTCATACTTTCAAACTCAGGGAGTTTGGCATTGCAGGCCTGTGTGTCCATAAAAGGATTGGTAGCCGGGGTTTGTCTAGCAAATAAATCACTCCTTATAGCCTTGATCTTGTTGTGGAAAAAGTCCACAAATCTATTTGCTAAGATTTGGGTAGTACGTCTCGTTTTCCTGTGAATAAGCGGGCTAATCGAGTCAAACATGGCCTAATTCTGGTTGCCATTATTTTCTTGCATGACTTTGGAGTTGTACAGTAGTTTTCTTTTGCTTTCCTCATAAGAGAACTCGTCATTGATTCTTGTAAAGCTCTCTGTTTATAACTAGATTTAATTTCCCAGCGCCTTTCTAATTTTCGTCTTTTCCGCTTTTTTCTGTCTATGTCATCACTGTACCAGGCAGCAGAGGGTCTTACGGTGATTTTTCGCTTTCTCACGGGAGCGTGGACGTCAAGTACTTTTGTGAGTTCAAATTCATATTTGTCAACTGGTTTTGGCATGCAGACCAGTAATAAATAAATAATTAAATGAAAGAAAGAGTTAAAGAAGGGAATAGATTAAGAACCATACAACTTAAACATTACCGACCTTACTGGCTGACTTCTTTACCATGATGGTGGCAGTCGTGCTATTCCGTGATGCGCGGCATAAAAAGAAGTTTGATTATTACAGACTGAGAAAGTTTTGCAATTAAAAAGGTTTATTTTCGATTTTGTTTGCGCCTGTTCCCTCAGGAGATACTAGCTTCTTGCATCATCAAAGTGTTCACGTCATGTTAATTCAAAAGTCTCCTTTTTTTTATGACTTACATGTACTTTTCTTGATAACTAAGTGATAAGGTTCAAGAAATATTTGTTTTCCGAGTGTCAGCTGTTAAATTGAAAGGTAGTGCCCCCGCGTAATCCGGAGGCTCTTCGATACATTTATTTACATAATATTCGCATCTTTCTACCCTTTCCGTCGTTGATTTAGAAATTTTCAACTATAAGTCTATGAATTGCTGCTCAGTCTCTGACGTCGTCCAGCATCTCTAAAACACATAAAATAGCGTTCTATCGATGACAATGAAATTTGATGATAATAATTAAAGAAAAAATAAAAATGTGGACTGAGGGAGCATATTTTTTGAGCTATCGCTTTTATTGGTCCTCTGGGCGAAGATAAAGTTTGTGTGGGATTCATTAAAAGTGAAAAACGGAAATGAATTCGAGCATAATCTTAGGTGTCTTGCAAACAAACTGACGAGTCTCTTTCGGCAAAATTATAGGAGAATGACATAAAAATACAAGTTTTGCTAGAAAAAATGTACAGAAGGGCTACGACAGCATATTGAGGCCGTTAATGTGAGACCTTTCACAAAGTCGAATGATTTTGAAAGATAAAGAGAGCGCTTTATCGTCTAAGAAAACACTTTTAGATGGCCAACGATCTTAAAACAAGAAGCGCTGCCCTGGTGATTCTGGAGGGATCAACATTGGTCATTTTAAATATCCTCTCACTTACTGGAAATATCCTTGTGTGTCTGTCTGTTTACAGAAATCCTCGCCTGCGTACATCTACTAATCTTTACATCATAGCTTTGGCTGTAAGCGATCTTCTTTCGGCATTGTTTGTTATGCCACTCGCGGAAGTCATCCTTTTTCAAGGAAGGTTGCCATTTGGTGAAAGCATATGCCAGTTTCACGCTTTCATAAGCCTCTTTGTCATTTACGTTTCTCCAGCGACAATGAGTTTGACTGCCATCAACAGATACGTTCGTATATGCCGATCTTCTGCGAACTACGATTGTATATTTTCGCCCAAAAAATCTCGTTTCTGTCTGGCTTTTGTGTGGATTTTTGTGGCATTTTATATTGGAATTCCCCGCGCGGCTGAATTTCAGGAATTTGAGTTTGTAGCAGGTTACGCACAATGCTCGATCAAGCACCTCAGTGAAACAGCGAAAATCATTCATTACACAATCGTTATAACCCTGTTCCTTGCCCTGCCATTGTTAGCTACAACATTCTGTTACGGCAAAGTCCTTAAAACTATTCGACAAAATAAGATAGAAATTTTTCCCTCGATTCGTCAAAATAGAAGGCAAGGTAACGAAACAAGGATATCTGTTCAAGAAATTAATCTAAGCTGGTCATTATTCATTGTTGTTTTTGCGTTTATGTTGTGTTGGATTCCTTTATGGGTAATTGTTATTTTAAGGCGTTTCTTTATCATTCACATGCCAAGAAATTTGGAGTTGTTATGTATGTTTTTTCTTTACATTTCCAACACGGTTAACCCTGTCATATATGCTGGCATGAATTCATCCTTCCGAAACGAGTTTCGTCGGATCATCACCTGTCGATCAAGACGTGTTGTAATATCTTTGACGTCAGTGAAAAGAAACGCAGAAGGAATGTTCGAGCTCAGTCGGATCCCTTCAAACGTGAGACAATATTCCAGAAACGAATCCCTTGAAAGATCTGAAAATGTGGATCGCATTGCTTCCTTGGATTTTGAGACGCCTGAGATTGACACTTGTAATCTTCAAGGAGGAAGCAAGAACCTACACTTTTTGCATATTCCGACTAGATAAGAAATATGAACGTCTCACTTACTAAAAAATATGTTAGAAATCTGACTTTATCCGTTTACTCTAATATCACAATATTTATTTTATTCATCAGGTTGTATTCCGCAAAAATGGCATAATTTCCCCAGCCAGAAATTTAAAAAGGCTCGTAGGTAGTGAACATCTTAACTCCAACTTCCTCGCTTTCACCTCTTGATCGGGATAAATTAACGGCAATCAAATTCGTAAGAAAATTTGACGGAAGTATCAGCCATAAAACTCTACTAAGATTTAATGGAGTAAAGCAAAGTGAAACTCATTTTCTACCGACTGCTCTATCTTTTTTTTAATTTATTAGCTTTTTCCCTCTAGATTTTAAAACCCTTATGATCTGTACGCTACATATATTATGTCTTAAGGGAATGTCTATCGTTTTTAAATGCGAAAGCACTTAGAGTAAAAAGCCCTCACTTAATCATGTCAGAGATTGGAGTCGGGAAACAACACATTAATCGATAGAATGTTCACAGGGTTTTAATTTCTTCGGAACCTTTGTAATGTAAAAATACAGAAAAGCATGCAGGGGATAGATAACAATATATGGCTAGCATTTTTAATTTTCTAGTTCTCGGAAGAAAGTATAGGTGACAGAGTTTTGTTTTCTGGATTGTAATGTAAAGCCTGAGTGAGGGGAGAGACTGCATATAACGATTGCATGCTCACAAAAAGTGCAAATTTACAAAAAAAAAAAAAGAAAAGAAAAAAAAGAAAAGAAAAGAAAGTTGGAGGCTGTAAATCTTTGCTGTAGAGGACGTCATCCGCTCAAATAAATAGCAAAATATTCCATTTGACTATATTGAGTCCGGTAGGATTTGTCATTGGAAGTAATTAAAAAGTCAATAACTGTCATAACATGCATTATTACTTCTACTTATCATTCTGAAACTAATAAGTTAACACTTGCATGAATTAGCCGAAATTTCAAAGGAAGTATAATTCACGTTGCGTTCATGTTATTTGCGGAAAATGCTCTTTTGAAACCAAGTCAATTAAAAGATGTTCAAATACGGCACAGTACCCTCATAACAGAACAATAGAAGTTTAGCCTTGTTAGAATATCCCTGTCGATCCCTATGTTTCATCCGCAGTTTACATTGTGCATGATGACAGGATTGTTTCTCGAACTAATCCTTGTAACCAGCTTTATAAAGATCCAGGTAAGTATTTTCCGCTTTTGATAGTAGCCTGAATTCCAAGAATATTATCACAGAAATCCTCTTAAGTTGTTAAACGTTATATTTATTACGTGTAGCTAAGTCTAAGTTCTTTTTAAAATTGTCGGCAAAACCGTTTATTATAAATAATTTAATAACTTCTTTGAAGAAAAAACTTAATTTTTAATATTGCAAATGCCCCTTATATAAGTCGGAATCATTAACGATGGGCCTTTTTAGTAAGTTTGTTCACGTTTTCAGGTGCGGCTGTCAGAATTCCGAGATAACGATTACATGTTCAGATGAAAGCTTTTTACCAAGGAAGTGGTTGACATCTGTAAATTCTACTGAAAATATGTAATTATTTAGGACGCGTTTTCTGATTCGTTCCACCCTTAAACACTTTGTACTATTAATCCCATCCTTATTTCTGTTTCTTAACAGAAGAAAAAAAAAACAAACAAACAGACAACCACTACAAAAACACGAAATAAAACACACAAAAAAGAAAGAAAGAAAGAATACAATGGTCGCTTGAGAAATCAAAAATTCAAGGTCGATCGCCTTAGTACTTGCCGACACGACACTACATAAAAGTATGATATGGCTTAAAGACTGTGCAATAAAACTCATGCCATGACCCGTTTGACAAATGCGGTTTCATAGTTTAAAAAATGACTATATTAAACATCGATATATCATGGCAGCAAATATATAAATATACAGACCATCAGTTTGCATTTTTACGAAGATAACACAGCAGCAAGGTGAGTTCTAAAACTGCTCTCTTATTTCTTCTTTCCTTTCTTTATTTTACTTTTGTTTTATTTTAATTTCTGAAATAGGCAGGGCAGCAGTGATAATCACACGCCGATACATTCCACAATATGTTTTTAAAGTGCTTTTAATTTCCATTTGATTTATACAGCTTTAGGCGAGTCATTAAATTTTACTTTTTTTTTCCAAAATTAATGGATTGAAAGTTTTTTGTTTTTTTTTGCTGATTAATTTTTCTGATGTTTTCTTCTTATATTTTGTCACTTTTAATCTCTGGCATGATAAGAAAATATAACGTCCAATTTGCCTTTGGAGAGGTGAAAGAGCCGCACTAGAAAAGTTTTGGAGAGTAGAATACAGTTATCAACGCATTAAGATGTAGCTATTAATAGAATGTCCTAAACCTATTTGCCAATGAATCCGACGAAACAGGTTTGATGCGTGATTCACTTGACTCTTTCCTCGCAAACTGAATTGTGAGTTATGATTTTGTACCAAAACAAATGTTATGGAGGCCACACAGGTTTGCTAGTCCGCAAAGAATGTAATTAAAGTACCATCCTAGTAAAGAATTAAGTCGAATCTTTGCACATCTATTTTTAAACTACAGGATACAATTTTTTTACATTAAATTAAAAATTCTCCAGTTGAGACTGGTTTTTATTCATTTTAATAATAATATAAAAAATATATATTGCCGAGTAAATGTTTCTCCGAAAGGCAAATCTTGAGGTCTTCTTATGAGTTAACGTATAATTAGAGTCAGGTGACATGTCGTGTGATAACAAACTGATTACAGATGAAGAGAAAGTGGTCAGTTGATCATGAATTTCTTTTTTATGCTTCAATAATTTACACTGAGGATCAAATTCAAATGGACAGCCTTTCCAAACGAGAATCGCTAGAATATCGCCCTGTCAGCAGAGTCTTTCTTTCGCTTGCTCGGTTTTGGCGTCATCGAGAAACAACACTCTGAATGAATCGAGTAAGATGTATGTTGAGCGTGCGCGGCATGTTGCTAGTGATAGAACCCAGTCCTTATACCCGTGTTCTCTCTACAGCGGGCTCGGTTATGACCATCAGTTTATCAATAAACAAGATGCTCGCACTCGGAAAAAAAAAAAGACAGTTTGAGGGTAGAAAACAAGATTGAGTAGTCCAGAAGTTTGTGCTGCGGAGACCTCAAAGGTTTAACGTGATTCAGGCATAGCCTCTTTTTCTCTTTCTCAATCAGCAAGGCTCAGCTCAGAGGCTGCTAGAATAATAATAAAAAAATCACCAAAAAAGATGTTTTTCTGTTTTGTTTTTTTTTCCTTTTTTTTTCCCACTGGTAACCCTGGTCTTGAACTAGTCTAGAAAAAGATACCCACAAAACAAATCTCTACATTAGTTTCGCCTTAGGCCTAATAATAAGTTTTCTCATCAGTATGCAGGTAAAGTCTCTTGATTCCAGAGCATCTGCAATTGCATTCATTGAAGTCGTCATTTGTCTGGTCATAAACATCACATCACTTGTGGGAAACATCTTGGTGTGTTTGTCGGTATACAGAAACAGCCGCCTTCGGACTAGCACTAACCTGTACATCATTGGACTTGCTATTGCCGATCTCCTGTCTGCAGTTATTGTCATGCCCTTTACCACTATTGTTCTCATCTCTGGTGATTGGATTATTGGGCCTTTTCTCTGCGATCTACACGCTTTTGTGATGAATTTTGTTCTTTTCGTGTCCCCGACTACTATGGCTCTAACGGCGTTTAACAGATACATAAGAATTGTGAAACCAGGAAAATACATGACCGTCTTCTCCAAGCGACGATCTGTAATGATGTTAGGGAGCGCATGGGCCTTTGTCGCGTTTTACGTTGCCATTCCAAAGCTTTCAGGTTTACAAGATTATGGCTTCGTTCCTGGCTATGCCCTATGTCACGTGATTCATCTGAGTGACAGTGGCTCTCTCGTACACTATATTGCAGTAATTACTTTGTTTTTGATAACGCCATTTACTGTTGCAATCGTATGCTACTTCAAGGTCTCCGAAGCGATTCGCCAACACAACCTAGATATTGCTCCGGGCCTCCAATTGAGAAGGTCGCGGTATCACATTACAATACATGAGATAAAAATCAGTAAATCTCTGTTTGTCGTAGTACTCGCGTTTATATTGTGTTGGATACCCGCATGGGCCGTTGCTATAGTTATCCGATTTCGTCTTTTAGAAGCTATTCCTCGGGGTGTACAACTGTTCTGCTCTCTCTCCGTCTACACCTCTAGTGCGGTTAACCCCTTTATATACTCTGGTATGAATCGTTCCTTTAGACAGGAATTTAAGAAGATTTTGAAGTGCAGAAGTGTTGTCACACCAGCCTGACCTCGAAATAATTTTCATGTTTATTGTGTTAAAGGAACCTTCAATATTAATACTGTCGTTCTTTCTAAACACTACGTTGTTACAATACTGATTGAAGCACCAAGGTGTTGAAGTGTGGAGTCGATTAACCCACCAAAGGCTTAACTATAACACAAAAAATTACATTTGAATAATCAAATGCACGCTGCTAAGAAACTTTTTGAAATCTGGCCCGGAATGTTGAGAAAACCTTGCCAAGTCCCTTCACGGCGTCCTTCCACGCCTTATCGGTCAATGCATGTTTCGGTTACGTATCCGAAACGTATGGACCGTGCGAAATGAATAAGGCCTAGGGACTTGAGGAAAACCTCAAGTGAGCCCAGTACATGAACGGGCTTACAAATTATGTTAAGTTGACTTAACGCCAGTCGGCGTAAATTGCTACGAAAGTAAACTTTGCCAGTTCTTTAATATATAGATTTAGCCAGGGCTAAAAGCGAAGCTCTCGATAAAAAAACATAAAAATAAATAAAAATGAATGAAAAAAAAAATTCAAAAATAAAAATCTGTTTTCCCAAAGATCATGAAGTATTATGGGATATGTTGTTGCCGAGGAATATTCCAAAAAAAATTACAAAAAGTTATTTTTTTCGAACATTTTTTAATTTTTTATTTGTTATATATATGTATAATTTTCTGAAGGTTACCTCAGCGGTAAGGTTTATTATTTGTTATTATTAATTAAATACTGATGTATTTTGCAGTTACTTTTACGAAAAAAATCCTAAGACTTGCACCTTACCTGATTTCGTGCTACTTGCGACGTCATATCCTTTAACCTGATGGCAACGAACTTTCACGAAATGTCCATTTAAAGACCTTGAGATAGGATGACAGAAATTTAGAGAAAGCCTTTGGCTTTCGCAGTTAAACGCTACGTTAATGTCGCACACATTTAAAGTTCTAAGTGGTGTGGGACAAAGCGAAACAAAATTAGCAAGGTAAAACAACTATGTGAGATAGAGTTGCTTTGTCTGTAGCTCATAAAACCAGTGATAGTAGTGGATAATTTAAAAGAAGCCGCTTTTAATCATTTTACTGACATTTTCTTCTCTCGGTTGTTTAGAGGTAAAAAGGTGTAAATAAACAACTTTCTCTAATTACATCAACAGACATAAAGCATCTTGTTTTGAAATTAGGGGAAATTTATAGTTATTCTTCAAAAAGGAACGATTGTAGGGCTATATCTGAATTCAATGACAGAAAAGATAAATTGAAATTAAAATGGAAACGTTGCGAAAATCCAAGAGAAGTTGCCTAATGGAATCCAGACAGGGTTTTTTTTATATTTTTTTCCAGATTATTAGCTATTATAACGAACCTTTATTAGCCCTTTTAAACTTTTATTTAAATCCCCAAAAAACCTCTATGTAATGACCAAAGAAAATTTGCGTTATTTAAATAAATCACTTGTTGTTTGGACGAAACAGAAAATGTTCTTATTGTCGCGTCTATTACTGAATTGGGAAAAAGCATATGGATAAACTTGACTAATAATCAGCCGACACAATACAAACAGAGAACCAAGAAATAAGCATCAGCTAATGTCAAAAAGACAAGAAGATAGGAACAAACCTACAGGTGACTGTCAAGCTATCTTAATAAGAATTTCCTCTCATTGCTAACGTACGTGAGGAAAAACTGTAAAACTTGAAATTATGCTGCCGAATTTCATACTCATTTAAAAGAACAGCTTTTACCAAGTTGAGGAACATTTCAATAGATTTTCCACGAAAGAGTACGTGATGGCAGGAAAAAAGAGGTAATTAAGGACGAATGCAAATGAACCATTTCTGTAATTCATGACTTCTCTGTCATAGTAAAGAGAACTTCCATCTTTTAATTTTCGTTATCTTTCAGGAAATTACAGTTCAAAAAGGAGCTATCTCGCATTCTCTTGGAGGTTCTGTTCATGGTAACACTTGCAGGGCTATTTCTGGGTTTGTATCTTGAAATTTCTCGTTTCTTTCTATTTCAAATGATTCAAAAACTGGATAAAGCACAGAAACTCCTTATGTTGACACAGCTTTGATGTCTACCTTAATATTAACTATTCAGCCTTTTTTGTTTCAACGAGACGTTTTTGTGTGTAGTTCATGATTCATGTCCGTGCCATGTTACTTACTGGGGAAAATTGGAAGCTTTCGTTGAATATCATCTTTTCAAATGAAACATTTATCAAATAAACAAAATTAATAAGTGCGCTATCATTACTTTGTCGATAAGGCAAAAACTTGGCTCTATAATGTTTACCATGGTCACTGCAAGATGATGATCATCTATTCGAACCGCACGCTACGCAGGCCTAAATTAAATGAAATTTATATATATTGCCGTTTACTTTTGAAACGATGCGATCTCTGAAACATTTTCCCCCATTCTCTATATTAAAAGGCTAAAAGCGGGTTATGGCAGTTAACTGATAGCTGAGATCTGACAGCCAGGTAATTAACTGATAGTTGAGGGATGGACTGAATTTTAAAAACCGATATTTGGTTTTCACAAATTATGAGCTGATAAAGCATCATGGCCACCGTGGGGGAATTAAGAAGCTCGCATGACTTTTCTAGCCCTAACTCTTCGTCCGAATACAAAATACAAAAGGACCCTACGGTCGGTGGCCAATCTATTTTATCAACGCAGTGGATAAAACTAACTTGCTGTCCTTTAAATCAGATTTTATGCAACCGAAATGTCCAGCGATAAGTCGATGAGTTAAAGAAAAAAAAAGTTTTTTTGTGTGGGTTTGAAACTTACGCCTCTCGCACAGACGTTTATTTCAGTATTTCTAATAATTGTTCGATCTTAATGATTCCGGAACTTGATTAAGACAAACCGAATGCATGGCAAATGATTCGGAGGATTATAGTACTGAATTGGTTCAACAGAATGAGATAACAGCAGGGGCCTATGAATAAGCATGGTATAAGCAAAGCGTCCCTCATCACAATTCATAAATACTAAAGAGCATAACAATTGATACATGCTAAGTACTTCACCGCAACAATACCGACATGGTGCCATATCCGTCATACTGGGCAACATATTTATTCCTACGTACTGAGAGGTTAAATCAATTTATAAGTATTACAAATTTGTCCCTGGACGACCACATACACACTAAAAGTCAAGTATAGAATGGGAATGGGGTTTTGATCGACGGACGATCGCCTACCTCAACCCTCCAGCCCCACCCCCCCCATTCCCTCCCCACTCCTTTTATATTCATGGACATCACATTTTTAAAGAATTGTGGGATTCTAGTGCTGGAAACTAGCTGTGCGGCCGCCATCTTTTACTTTGAAATCACTGGAGAACAATAACTTGTTGGGTGAAATATATATAGCTCCAAGCGGTTGTTTTCAGACTTGGATATCCAAAATAAATATCAATACAAACTGCCAATAGTTAAGCAAGTGTCGCCTGCGGAGATAAAGGCAGTCAACACCGCCGTATACTCAGTTGAGGAAGAGACTGGTCTCTTTCGTTGATAAAAAAAATTATATGTGCCAAGAGGATCGATCAAGAATACGACTTCCATCTTTTGCCAGTCCATGACCTTCTAAATACAAATAAAATGTTTGTAGTATACATCAACCGGGATTCACATTTCAGATGGCCTTTTACTTGTCGCTTTATTTTTTTAATTGTCTTTTTAACTTTAGTTTTTTTTTAATAATCTTTTTGCAAGCTGATGGCTGCATAGCCATCAACTTTATCTCCATTTTGTAATAAACTGGGCTTAACACCTGCAATTCCTTATCATTGTTTGTTACCTTGTTTTACTATTTGGCTTTTTTAGTTTTATGCATAAAAATAACACCTTAATTTCTTCAGTTGAAAGTTTAAAACTTTTTTAAGCTTTTACTTAAACCTTTTTAAAACACTTTTTTTCAATTTGTCTTAGCCCGTATTAGTTTCTGTATAAGTCTGTGATATTCTTACACCCACCTGTCTGAGAAAACATCTATTAGGTACTACTTTTCACAGGTAGAGGAAGTGCCATTATTGTCGATTACAAAGTCTTTGAAGATGAGCACAATTTCCAAGAAGCACAGAGTGCATGCCAGCAGCATGGTTTCGTTCGCCTTGCAAAGATCATAAATAGAGATAACCTTGAGGCAGCTCAAAATTTGTCGAAATTTAATTCAAACAGAAAGTATTGGATGGGTCTCAGCGTGAAGTAAGTGAGCCAGTTTACTTGTCTATGAATACTGAAGAGCAATATGATAGATAAAAGCGACACAAATAAAATGCAAGCAACATATCCCCTACATTTATTATTTGATTTGAGAAAAAGAGAAACATGTCTTGAATTTAAAATCACCAAATGACAGGGGGATTCAATTTTTTAACATGAGTGTGAATTTCTCTAAAAATCGTTCAACTTATAATTGCTTTTTTCTTTTTTCTCTGCAAGCATCCTTTTATACAGAGATCAATTTGTATATCAAGATTACCTTAATTTGTACAGGTTTTAAGTAAAATAGGGTAAGATCTTATATAGCAGAATTTGTTCCAAATCATTGCAATTCATTCTTTAATAAAAATGACGTCATTGTGACATCTTTGCTATTGTTAAAGTTTTGTGTGTGTGTGTTGGTCATTTTCTTGATTTTGTCAGACACCTTACTGTTTAAGCATTTTTCGCTTTGAGGAGATTGACGAAATTTTGATTCTGCCAATAAATTCAACAATATGACGTCATAATAACGTCAAATTATGTCATTGTGCCAGTAACTTTAAAATAATGAATATATTACATTCTGTGTCATTTTGGTGACGTTACCATCAGTGGTTTCAAAGTTACATGGGAGGGCGGGGGGAAGGACTGCGAAGCCCCCCTTCTCCCGGTCGCAGGAAGCACAAAAATGCCCGGTCTTAATAGGGTTAGTGCAATTCGATTCCATTTTATTTTACTTTTTAATTACGATTATTATTAGCATTCATCTTAGTAAGTCGTTTATACTATTCCACAACTTTTTTCCGTAGCCGCAGTAAATGGTACTGGAGTACGAGTAAAGAAACAATTACGATCAGACCAGAGTTAAGTGAGTTGCTGGATCAAAATAAAGCTGAAAACTTTTCACATACGGGAGCTTTCTGCTTTATGGTTACCAATAGATCAGAACTGGAAATGGATAAATGTGAAGCAAATCATTATTACATTTGTGGACAGTATAGAGGTAGGTTTAAGATATTAAAGTAAAGGGTAAAAGTATTCATAATGATTTGTAATTTGCGTGCATGTCTGTGTGTACGGCTTTTAGAGAGTATATTACAATTACAAAACACTTTTGAATTAACAACTTATCCCCTAAATCGCCACCAAAAATCAGCTCTTCCAGTTTGAAGGGAACTTGTACGAGCAAGTGGACGGTGTAGCCATGGGCTCACCCCTAGGTCCCCTAATGGCAAACGCCTTCATGTGCAAAATCGAGAAACAGCTGGAAACAGAGAACAAGTTGCCTACCTTCAACAAGCGCTATGTCGATGATACACTTAGCGTAATGCCGGATCTGACAGCAGCCTCAGAATTCCTGACGACATTAAACGAGAGTCATCCCTCTATCAATTTGACAATGGAGCTCGAAGAAAATGGCAAGCTTCCCTTTCTCGGAATGAATGTTATCAGGAATGGTTGCCGCCTAGACACCACGGTTTACAGAAAACCAACGGACACTGGACTTCTGCTACACTACCACAGTCACGTTGACGCCAGATACAAACGGTCACTCCTGAACACCATGCTTAACCGTGCGTTTAAACTCTCGTCTAAGTGGAAGTTTTTTCACAAGGAATGTGAACGCCTTAAAGAGATCTTCTCCCGACTACGCTATCCAGACGACCTTGTGCAGTCAACCATTCGCCAATTCATTGAATCCAAAGTGTCCGAGGATTCACACACCCAAGTGGCTGATAAAAGAGAAGCCCCAATCAGAATCGTGTTGCCCTTCAAAGACCAGAAATCAGCAAACGTAGTACGTAAACAGCTGGCTGACCTGAGTAGGAAGATCAACGCAGACATCAGCCCAGTTTACACAAGTAGGAAGATCAAAGATGAAATTAAGGTCAAGGAAGACAAGCCGCCTCTTGTGAGTCAACAATGCGTGGTGTATTCTTTCCAGTGTAGCCTGTGTGATGCAGGCTATGTCGGCTACACGTGCCGACACCTACCCCAACGAATTGAAGAACACAAAGGATGGGCAATCGGAAACCACCTCAGAGAGCAGCATGATATGGAGCCTGAAGACATCGCACAAAGTTTTAGAATCTTAAGAAAGTGTCAGAACAAATTTGACTGCCTTATTTTTGAACTGTTTTTTATCCAAGAACTGAAACCGACGCTTAACAAACAGTGCGATTCAATTCGCGCCAAATTATTTGTTTAGAGTAGTTCTTGTTAACATTGTTTTATTTCCATTGTTTTTTGACTTTATAAATATTTTTAGCACTTTTTACATTTTTACATATTTTATCACATTTTAGCGTTCACCACATTTTTATCTATTATAACTTGTTTTTAACTTATTTATGCTAATTTAGAGAACTTTTGTACACTTGAAAATGACCTCGGAGATGTCGAAACGTCGTGATTTTTTATCGCTAATATTTATCTCAAATATCCCCTAAAAGCAGTACTTAAAGTTTGTATCGTTGAAGTACTTCCGTCGTACTATTTTCTATCCTCCCAAACTTCTGTTTAAGCAAGTGATCGGGCTCTATTACAGCTCTTTTAGTCCTCTTCTGGAAATCAGCCATTAGATTGCAGATCATGGTATTTTCAAAAGATTCTTTTTGGAATAGAACAGTGTTTATTTAACAAGTTTGGTAGCCTTAAATGTGCTCTGTTCTGTTGTAAAGCACTTAGGATGGGCTTAGAGCACGAAAGAAATGTAGGGGGAAACACGACGTGGTCGAGTGTTTGTCCCTACTTCCTTCAGTGCTTTAGCCGCTTCCTAAGTACTTTACAACACAACTGAACACAGTCAAGGCTTCCAAATGTCTTTTATGATAAAGAATCCAGTAAACTGCTCAAGAATAGCTTTTTAATTTTCAAATCTAAACAAACTTTAATTTCAAAGCGATCCAGGTG